TGGCATTGGAGTTTCTATTAATTTATATGGCTTTTATTTGTCTATTTCCAGTGTCTGTTATGACATCTTCAGTGTACAACTGTACAAGTACTTATCAGATGAACAGAGCTTTTGCTCCACGATGTGCAACGGCAGAAGAAAATAATTTTTTTTCCAGCAAAGAAACACTTTCTGTGCTTGTTTAAGAAACCTAACAAACCTTTCCTTTGTGTACGAAAAAACAAGCTAACAGATTGGCGTTTTTCTGAAAGACACTTTAATTTCTTTAATGATCGCAAATCAATTTCCATGTCCACAGTCCACAGTCCACCCATATTTGATAGCATAATGAATATTGTGTGTCCTATATCAATTAAATTTGTATGATTGACATTTGACTGACTTTGCACAATTGCACGTACACTATAAAACAGAATTTGCACCTTTTAATATCCAACGCAGAAACATAGCTGCAAATGAAAATGGAAGTACACAGTGGCTGAGTTAGCAAAACGCTCCAGGGGGTCGAAAATCAAATTTTTACGAAATCAAAATGGTATATCATTTTTAGACAATGTTCAAGTTTAATGTTTCATATTTAGTTTAGATAAATATACACTCGTAGCAACTAGCAAGAGGATATATTGTATTTGCTCTGTTTCTAAGTCATGTCATTTAAGTGATGAGTTAATTATATACTCCGTACTAGTTTTAAAATTTGGAAAAATCATTCATATTACGCACCAAATTTTGCTATTTGTTCGTTTAGATAGTGCTGATTTTCTAAAAGTCTGATTTTAGTTTACTCACACTTAAAATAGATTATAGTATATGGTGTAAGTACGAGTATCTTCTCCACAGGAACGGACAAAAGGGAATCTAAGATTAACTAAATTCAGCGATTAAAGAAATAAAATAAATGCGTCGTGCGAGATTGATTGGTTGGAAAATAAAACTAATGCGAATAAAACGATTAAACTAGGAGGTTCTTTCTAATTAATGACGAAGGGAACAAGGATTGATTCTGGGGTAACCAGATTTCTGGCTGATCAGGCCTAATTACATGAAATTAATTCAATTGAGCCTAGCTAATCATTACTAAGTTCTTACCGCTCTCGCGGTGTAGAGTACAATATTTTAGGGGACCAGACTGATCTCTCATGCGACAGGATCCTAAACTATTGCCAAGACGAGCGAGCTTACGGCCCCTTAATCGCTACTAATCTCTTAACGAACGATTAAGTGTGTGTGAATGTAACCTAGAATAAATTAGATCTCTCTTAATTTATTCTACAAGCAATCGTAATTCTAGCGGTCGTTCTAGGTTACAAGAGATATCAGTTAAATTATTCAAACACAAATTAAACGACGTTCATGCAATTAAACCGAAAGGAATCTAGCCATACATCATGATCAACCCCTTCATCAATCCCAAATCCCTAATTAAAACTACTCACAATTTATAATTGAAGAATCAATAGAATTGGAATACAAAGAATTAATTGTCATTAATTAAAAAGGTGGAACTTACAAAGAATCCCAAAAGATTGATAAACAAGGCTGAAAAGACCTCTAAAATTTGTGCTAGGCACTATCTCTAAGCTCCCCCTTTAAAACGGGGGTTTACAGGCTGTTTAAATAGAAAAATCAGGTGAAATTTGAGTTGAAATGGGGTTTTCGGAGGCAGGCACGATGACAGGCACAATCGTGCCTTCGATGGTGCCTCCGGAGCAAAAACGCGCATTTTGGGCAGGCACGATCGTGCCTGGCTGGCCGTAACTCCGCGGTGCTTTTCTCTTCAGGCACGATCGTGCTTGACTTTGAGGGCACAATTGTGCCTACTTAACTTCCGAATTTGACAAAACTTTTTTCATGAAAGTTGTAGGTAATGAAGTCCTCTATCCACCCCAATTAACCGAATGTGATTTGAATCATCCAATCAAGAGATATGATCAAAACGGTGGAAGGTATCATTCTGAAATCGCAGCAGCGATCATTTGACTTCATCGTCTGTTTTCACCTTCTTCCTCGCATATTCTCGCAAAGGTGTCTGCATATGATTTGTAGCTCTTGAAGTTTCTTTCATATGAAACTTGAATCGTGTCCATTGGATGTTTCTACAAGGAGATATACTTTACCGATTGACAAAAGGTCATCCTGATTGTCGTTTTCAAGCTTCATTCATCTTCTTTTGACCCCGTAGCCAATCCTAGAGCTCTTTTGTCATCAAATCTTCATCGTGAACCTCCCGGTGACCTCCAAATCTCTCAATCCACTCTCGAATGCATCTCGAATCATCCCGATTGCTTCTCAAGTGCCAATGTTGAACTCTAAATTCCTCATTTTGACTCCAAATGACACAAAACTCGAACCAACGCCCGGTAAACATAACTTGAGCTAAAATTGAGACTTGCAACACCTTAAAGCTAGAAAAAACATCAAAATTCAATCCCAACATGCATCAAATGCGTGTCTAAATACGGACTTATCAAAGTCATAACTTTTTACTCGTAATGAGTTACGAAAAAACAGTTGTCAAATTCAAATTTTAAGCAACTGCTAACACTCCCTAAATATCCTACTCAGAAAGACAGATTCAAAGCTGCAAAATGAAAATGGAATTATGGAAGTATGAGCATTCCAATCTAGGAAGTATAGGCGGGATTTCATTTTCGGTCGTTTTAGACTTTTGCATGTTTCAGATTTAGCAAATCAAGTTGCTTTGTATGAGGTGACTGACTCTCTGTCTATCCATAGGGTTCACGATTGAACCTATAAAAATCTGTCTGAAGGTTGTCTTGTATTTGTTCTCGATTTTAATATAAAAACCGCTCTTTTATGATAAAAAAGGTATTTCTTGAAAGCTTACACTTGGTGCCAACAAACAAATGGAAAAACTGTACCTCAAGAAGTAACGTCTAGAAAAGTAGGTGTCCCCTCTAACTTGTGATCTTATATGATTTGTAAAAAGTTCAAAAGATTATATTCTAAACATACTACCTAAGTATTTGGATAATACAATATTTGAGTCAGCTCGTCGCCGACTCACTCACTCATACGGGAGGTCTCGGGTTCGAAACTCCACAGAGGAGTTTCTCCCCTATTTATCATAGGTTCCCCACAACCCCCTACCTTTTGGGGGGGATTGAAACAATTAAGAAAATGAAAACACTATATCATACATTTATTTAGAGAAAACAGAAATACTAAAGACTACAATTTATAATTTGAAAGAAGCAATCGATTCAAGTAAAAAATTACTACGTATAAAATATACCAAGAGTATGTTACAGTACGTATATGGAGTTATGCTTTGGAGAAAAAGGGGAAATATTAAGAGGGTTTATAACCCTTTCTTATTTGGATGTTTAAAATTTGAAAGAGATTTTTGGGACCCCTTCAAACTTTTCAAATGCTATATTTTTAAATTCCATCAAATTGGAGGATTTTAATAGATAACTAACTAAATGATAACTTTAGCTCGGTTTAAACTATTGTTTGGTACAAGTTCAACTGTTTGAATCTATCATATTTCTAAAGTGATTTTTATTATAATTCTTACGTAGTTTATCTATTCAAATTTATCTCTCAAATAAGAAGAAGGCTAAAGGGTCAAATAGGTGCATGAACTAACGTAAAGTGTTCAATTAGCCCCTTATATAGGAGGTTCTGCCCGGTCGTCGCCAATTAGGGCGGTTCCCGGTGGAATTTTTTGATGAAATTTTTTGAGCATCTTCTTTATTAAGTCTAGTTTACCCATACCAAATTTCAGCTAAAAATTCAACCGGGAAGGCAGTCAAATGATTTTTTGAAGATAACTACGCAGTTAAACAGCTCAGTACATTTCGGAAAACCATTTGACTGCCTTGCCGATTTAATTTTTAGCTGAAATTTGATATGGGTAAACTAGGCTTAATGAAGAAGATGTTAAAAAAATTTCATCAAAAAATTCCACCGGGAACCGCCCCAATTGGCGACGTCTGGGCTGAACCTCCTATATAAGGGGCTAATTGAACACTTTAAGTTAGTTCATGTACCTATTTGACCCTTTAGCCTAAGAAGAACGAATTCTTTTACTTCTGTTCTCATTCGCCTATTATAACTAATCCTTCAAAGTATTGGCCTTCCTCTCCACTTCCCTTCGAACCAGGGCTGGACTCGGGCCGGTTCGGGCCCGGCCGGACCTCGGGCCAGGAAAGGGGAGGCCCGAGCCCGAACCGCCGGTGGCCGGTTCCGGTTCCGGGCCAAACCGGGCCGGGCCGGGCCGGGCCGGGCCGAACCGGCCCAATTATTTTTTTTTGTTCTCCTATTTAATCCCCTACCCCTCCCCCTCAACCCCAAACCATCCCAAACCACCTCAAATGGCCCAAAATACCTAATCCAACCTAAAACTTAAAAAAATTTCAAAAAAAAAAAAAAAAAAATTAAAATCCGGCCCGAACCGGCCGGGCCGGTTCACCAAAACCTGGGCCCGAGCCCGGACCGCCCAGCACCCGGGCCGGGCCAAACCGAACCGGTGGACCCACCGGGCCACGGGCCGGGCCGGGCCAAACAGTGATCGGGCCGGTTCGGTCCCGGGTTGGGCCGCCCGGCCCGAGTCCAGCCCTACTTCGAACTTTAAGGACGTGTTTGGCATTCAGCGGTTGACGGATAGCGGATTATGTTAGCGAGTTGTCAATAACGGATTCTTTTAGCGGGTTTGACTAGCGGAATAAATTGACGGGTTGTCAGAAGATGTTTGATAATTTAGCTGTTTGACCATAAAATTTGTAGAAAACACCATTTTTCAAAACGCCAATCCAAAACTCTTCCATTAGCAACGTTTTCATTTCAGCGTTTTCATTCAATTTTTTCACTTATTGAAAATGCTAAAAATGGTCAAACTGCCATTTTCGGCTGAAACGTTGTTTACCAAACACCCCTAAAATTTACCCTTAAAAACATAAATATTTTTTTCATGTAAAGTTACTGTCCCCCACTTCCCCTATATGGCTATATTTTCCAAGCAGCCTAGTGCATTAGACCCATGTTGGACTAAGTTGGGCTAGACAAAGAACTTGCAATTCGAGGAATGGGCCAGAAATTTGGACAGTAATCGGGTTCCTGGCAGCAAGAACGATTAGGGGTTAGCCGGTAGTAAAGCCAGAAATTTCTTCACATGTGAATCTGTATATATATCGATCTCTGCTCCGCTTTGCTTTGCGGCTTGTAACAAATTTCCACTAAATCAACGCGGGTCGGGTTCAGAATATCCCGGTGCGAAGGTATCGTTCCGTTTATTCTGGGCGGTGGACGACGAGGAGGTTCGCTCCTCTTTTAGAGTCGATTGATGGGTACCGAGCGGAAGAGGAAGGTGAGTTTGTTCGACGTTGTGGACAATAGCGGCTCCAAGATCCCGAAAATCAACGGTCTTGGTTCTGCTCTTCTGGGTAACAGCGTCCCAATGTCTTCCTCTATCAATAAGTGGACCGCCAAGCCCTATTCCCAGAGATACTTTGAGATTTTGGAGAAGAGGAAGACTCTTCCTGTTTGGCACCAGAAAGACGAGTTCCTGCAAACATTGAAAGAGAATCAAACCCTCATCCTCGTCGGTGAAACGGGTAGTGGTAAAACCACTCAGGTCAGCTCTACTCTTTAATTGCGAATTGTAGTTGATTTGTTTTGTTTTGGTAGAGTATTTTATGCGATATCAAGTTTTGAGTATATACAAATTCTTTTTTTTTTTTTTTTGCACTTTCTGTTTTTACCTATTGAGCTGTTGTTTCATGATGGTCAAGGATACTGGTAGGAGGGAATCAATGTAGATAATATCTCATGCTTTGCAGACACAGCAGCTCCCATGTGTCATAGTTGATAGTATTTAGCTTTAGTATTCACCAGTCAACAGCTTGAAGAATAAATGTAAAGGATTTCTATTTCATGGTGGAATATCGTTATACCTGTGCGGCTGTGCATCAATTTCTCTTTGAAAAAGTTTCTAAAGGAAGAGTTTTTATTGACAATTAGACTAAATAATCAGAATTTCAGAACTAGAAATAGTCAACAGCTCCCGTGTATGTTTAGTAATTACATTGTAAAAGTATCTGTGCAGCTTGAATTATCTTTTTAAGAGTATCATACTAACATGATAATTCTCATGAGTAATTATTAGAATTCTTCTGCCCTTATAGCTGAATTCGCAATCAAGACAGCATTTCCCTCCCGGATTTCTGTTAATATGTCTGAAGTTTATAGAAGTTTGAGGCATACAAGACTATATCATTTGTAGTCACAGTTAAAGTCCCAAGCAACAGAGTCTTGTCAATGTGTATTTTATGCTTCATCATTGTGCTTAATGTGTCGAATTTTAATTTACACTTCTAAATTCCAAAGTTTAACAAACAGCTCTTTTAACCTGTCACAGATACCTCAGTTTGTTCTTGATGCCATTGATGTTGAGACCCCTGATAAGCGTAGGAAGTATATGGTTGCTTGCACTCAGCCTCGGAGGGTTGCTGCTATGTCTGTTTCTCGTCGAGTTGCCGAAGAGATGGATGTGGCCATTGGAGAAGAAGTGGGTTACAGCATTCGTTTTGAAGATTGCAGCAGTGCTCGCACAGTTTTAAAGTAACAATTATTATAAACCAATTTGTGACAACTTATGCAATTGCTAATTAAGTTACTCTTTAAATTTTTTTTCCTGTCTGCCACTTTCCATCGTATTATAGGTACTTGACAGATGGTATGCTCTTAAGGGAAGCCATGACAGACCCTCTCCTGGAAAGATACAAGGTAATAATTCTTGATGAAGCTCATGAAAGGACATTGGCAACTGATGTTCTATTTGGACTTCTTAAGGAGGTGTTGAAAAACAGACCGGATCTCAAGCTAGTTGTCATGAGTGCCACTCTTGAGGCTGAAAAGTTTCAGGGTTATTTTTATGGTGCACCTCTTATGAAAGTTCCTGGCCGGCTTCATCCTGTGGAAATCTTTTACACTCAGGAGCCTGAAAGGGATTACCTTGAAGCAGCTATTCGGACTGTTGTGCAGATACATATGTGCGAACCTCCTGGCGATATCCTTGTCTTTCTAACCGGAGAAGAGGAGATTGAGGATGCATGTAGGAAAATAACAAAAGAAATCACCAATTTGGGAGATCAAGTGGGTCCCATAAAACCAGTTCCACTTTATTCTACACTTCCTCCAACCATGCAACAGAAGATTTTTGAACCTGCTCCCCCTCCACTTGTAGCAGGTGGTCCTCCTGGGAGGAAGGTTGTTGTCTCTACAAATATTGCTGAGACATCATTGACCATAGATGGTATAGTTTATGTTATAGACCCAGGGTTTGCAAAGCAAAAAGTTTATAACCCCAGGGTACGTGTTGAGTCTTTGTTGGTCTCTCCAATTTCAAAGGCAAGTGCACACCAAAGATCTGGGCGTGCTGGAAGAACACAGCCAGGAAAATGCTATAGACTGTACACAGAAAAGAGCTTTCAGAACGATCTCCAACCACAGACCTATCCCGAAATACTTAGATCAAACCTTTCCAATACAGTTCTAACTTTGAAGAAGCTAGGAATAGACGATTTAGTCCATTTTGATTTCATGGATCCTCCAGCCCCAGAGACATTAATGAGAGCCTTGGAGGTTCTGAATTACCTTGGTGCCTTGGATGATGAAGGGAACTTGACAAAATTGGGTGAGATCATGAGTGAGTTGCCCCTGGATCCCCAAATGGCAAAAATGCTCGTCGTCAGCCCAGAATTTAATTGCTCCAATGAGATTCTCTCTGTGTCTGCCATGCTATCAGGTATTATTTTATTGATCATATTTTTTCTGTCTGTTGAGTCTGTCGGTGTGGTCTTTATCCTCATCACTGTCATATAGACATGTTGTTAGATATCTATGCATAGATATCTATGCTTTTGTGCATAGATATGTACCAATGCATATAGAGATGTTGTTAGACTGCATACATGTGCACAAAAGTGCATTTGTATGTGGTTTTATGTGTGTCACCCTTAGGTTGTCATCAGCAACTGTCTTGTATGGGTTCCATGCCCTTCGGCTGGCATGCACCATAGAGGTTCTAAGCTAGTGCTGATGCAGATAGTTGCAGTTTCTCAGTATTCTCTCTCATGAAGCAAATGGTGTCGTCTCTCGCCTCTATGCATCTGCTGACCACACAGTGGGCCCTCCTCTGTGATAACCACTTTTTTCTATAGTACCCAACTGCTTTATCCGGCCTAGGGAGGCTCAAAAAGCTGCAGACGAAGCGAAAGGGCGTTTTAGCCACATTGATGGAGATCACCTCACGCTGCTGAATGTATACCACGCTTACAAGCAAAACCGTAAGTTTCTTTTTTATGTGTGTTCTGTGTTCTCAATTTTAAAAAATCCACAAGCTGATTATGAGAAGTTTTCTTGATATGGTTTTATGGTTCTTTTCAGAGGAGGATCCACAATGGTGTTATGAAAATTTCATTAACCACAGGGCTCTCAAGTCAGCAGATAACGTCAGGCAGCAACTTGCACGCATTATGGCAAGATTTAACCTAAAGCTATGTAGCACTGACTTCAACAGCCGTGACTACTATGTCAACATAAGGAAGGCAATGTTAGCTGGCTATTTCATGCAGGTGGCTCATTTAGAACGTACAGGTCACTATTTGACAGTGAAGGATAATCAGGTATGTTCATGCTTTCGCAAATACAGCAGTTATGTGTGGCTTGTTAGTTAATTGCTTGGTACTTATTGCTTTTATTACTATGACACAGGCTCACAGCACACACGATAATTGTATGATAGCATAGACTTGTACATTGCCAAAAGGTGATTGCTTCATGTTGAATGCTTGCTACTAATTTCTTCTACTATGAAAAATTCTGATATGTTGTAGGAGGTTCACTTGCACCCTTCAAACTGTCTGGATCATAAGCCAGAATGGGTTATATACAATGAGTACGTGTTAACAAGCAGGAAATTTATCCGTACTGTGACTGACATCCGGGGAGATTGGTCAGTATTTTTAAGATTATATTCCTACTTAGTTTTTTCTTTCACTGCAACTTTTGTGTGCTTGTTACTACCATATCCATATCTGTGTCGGGATTCTGTCCCTCACGGATGTTGTGTTGAAATTGGGGAACCACAAAGTTCTATTCATGTCTGTTTTGCGTTCTTGTTGATTTAGAGCCTGTTTGGGACAACTTATGGGATGAGACTTTGTCATTGAAGCACTTTATGTGGTTTTCTGAGTTTTACTGCCCACCACTTTTATTTACTTACACAGCTTCCGTTTTTGTTACTTTTTACTTAGCTCTTTTTGAGTGATATAATGTTATTTGTTCCATTTTTCATGTTTGTAATTTTTACCTTATTTATCATCTCTGTTTTCTTGTTATCTACCTTTTCACAAATTTACCTTTTCATCTCTGTTTGTAGTATTATATTATTATAGGGGTTGCATATTGGAAATTGTCTTGTGATGTTTTAATGAAGAGGATAAAAGAAGGGAGATCTGATCATTTGTTTTGTGCATGAATACGTGATGATGCAGGTTGATTGATATAGCACCACACTATTATGATATCACAAATTTCCCCCAGTGTGAAGCAAAACATGTACTTGATAGAATGTACAAGAAGAGGGACAGAGAACGAGGGGACCAACACAAGAAAAAGAAATGAATATCTGATAGCAAGGGACCGCGGGAAGGGAGTGTTTGGCCTTCAGCTATGAGCCTATGAATGAATTTCACCTATCGAGTACAATTGCTTGTTTTGAAATTTAGGAAGGACTAAGTTAATTTTATTTATGCATTGATAACAATGAAATAGCGCAGTGTTGTTTTTAAATGCCTTCTGTTGACAATATTGTCTCCCTTCTACTTTTACTTTTTGATCCGCTCGTTACTGTCTTGAAGACTCTCTTTTTTGAAATTAGGGCTTGTTTGGTTTGCATATTTTAGACACAAGGGCAAGCGGTCATTATCGTGTCATAAGTGATACGTCCATGCTACATGTAATCTCATTAAAAGCATAATTTTTATAAGACATGATTAAGCATACAATAATACATTAAGTGGAAAAATTAATTGAACCGAATCGCATAGTACTATCCGGGTTCTTTGAAAATTGCAACAATTTGACTTTTGTGTTTGCCTAGGGGTGGACCCGGGCCGGTTCGGGCTTGGGCCCGGGTGGACCCGGGCTGGTTCGGGCTTGGGCCCGGACGGACCTTTTTTTGGGAAAGGGGGAATCGGAACTGGCCCGGGCAAGCGGTGGTTCTGGGCCGGGCTGGTTCCGGTTCAATTTTTGTTTTTGATTTCTTATTTATTTCATCCCCTACCCCCCAAACCCCTTGGAAAACCCAGCCCAGTCCAATAAACCCAGCCCAAACCTACTAAAACCAAAAAAAATATAAAAGGCCCGAATCGGGTTCGGCCTGCCCAGGTTGGTTCGCCTTTTGCATGACTCAGGCCCGGAACCGCTTAACCTCTCGGGCCTAGGCATGGACTCGGGTCGGGCGGCCCGGCCCGGTCACTGTTTGAACCGGCCCGGCCCGGGAACCGGGCCATAGGGCGGTTCGGGTCGACCCGGCCCGCTAGTCATATGCTTTGGGCTCGGGCCCTAGGAATGGTGAACCGGCCCGGCCGGTTCGGGCCCGGTCCGGGCCAAATTTAATTTTTTTGTTTTTTTTGAATTTTTTTAAGTTTTTGGATTGGGTTGGGTATTTTGTGCCATTTGAGGTGGTGTGGGTGAGGGGGGAGGGTTGGGAGTTAATTAGGAGAAGCCAAAAAAAATTAGATTGGACCGAGGCCCGGCCCGGCCCGAACCGGACTCGGGGGTTACCCGGGCCGGTTCCGGGCCTCCCATATCCTGAACCGTGAACCGGCCGAGCCCAGGCCCGAACCGGCCCGTGGCCATGCCTACTCGGGCCTAGCCGCCTAGGCCCGAACCGGAACTGGAACCGGTTTCCCGGGCCAGGCCGGTTCTGGGCCGCCGTCCATCCGTATGTTTTCCAACGCACAACTTTGACTGTAATTATATTTAATTAAGTATTACTCCGTAGTAAACATTTAAAAAGTTAATATTTTGGAAATTTACATTAATAAAAATTTAATAACATTTTATACATATTAATTTCATTATTATATTATTAGAAAATCGTATTTAAAGTAAGGTGTGTGAATAGTATAAAAATCTCTATGTTGCAACTTTTAAAGAAAGGAGGAAGTATATCATGATAAAGAGTGCTGTTCCGGTCAGGAATTTCCTGACCGGAGCCCCGTCCGGCCTCCTCCATTTGGGGGTCTTCCCGGTGGTATTTTTTGGTCAAATTTTTGTGTAGGTTTCTCATCAAGTCTAGTTCATCCATACCAAATTTCAGCCAAAAATTCAATCGGGAAGTTCATCAAATGATTTTTGCAAGTTAACTGGTCCGGAATATGTATTTTCCGGACCAGTTAACTTGCAAAATTCATTTGACAACATTCCCGATTGAATTTTTGGCTGAAATTTGGTATGGATGAACTAGACTTGATGAGAAACCTACACAAAAACGTTGAGAAAAAAATACCACCGGGAAGGCCTCCAAATGGAGGAGGCCGGACCTGAATATTCATCTCACGATAACGGGGTAAGATGAATGGGGTTCAATTTTTTTTGAAGGGGTTGTGGAGTATCTTGCAAAATTGTTAACAATTCAATGGCTTGTTTTTTTTTGATCTTTTTCTCTTATCAAGTTAATAACTAGTTTTGTAACAAGCATTGCGCGATTGAGTGGTGCCCAATGTATTTGTATGTAGCATATATATGTAGTAAACAATTTGTAACTCATATAATATTTGCAAAAATGGTGAAACTTGACAAAAAACAAGTCAAATAAATATGCATTTAGGGTCTCAATTTTCCTTAAAATTAGAAGCCTCAACTTTTAGAATCTATTGCTTAAATTAAAATAATATCTAACACAAAACTAATGAGCTACATGCAAGCTGGTAAGTATAAAGTATGAATAAGTATGAGTAAACATAATCTAATTTATAGTACGTACATTATAAGGATATATGCAGATAAAACAAATTTCCATAAATAAAAAAAGGAGAGATGAGAAAGAAAGTTGGGCATATTCATGCATAGCAGTTTGTTGTGGAAGAATTTTACAGCAAAAGTTATTTTTGAAACACTTTTTTTTTAATATTCACGTTTTCTATTACATAAACACTTTTTCTATTACATAAAAGGTATTTTTCATCAACGCTAACTTGAATGTAGTACTATTTTAAAATCACTTTTCTTTTTACATCACCAACTTCAACTATGAAACATTGTCATATAATCTCTTAAATAAATCACTTCTCATAAACACAAACACTCATATACATTTCATTGCATCTGAGGCATGAATACAGGATGTGCTTATATGTCATAGGGGCCTCTTGACATTAGGAAGACGCCAATTTCTCAAAAAAATTGAAAGAACTAAAAGTGGATAAAAAAGTGACCTTATTGAGTGAAAACTAATCATCTACATTTTTATGTTGTTATTTTCTTTTTTTTTTATATAATGTCTTTGTTCAGATTTTTATTATTATTCGGAATACTTGTGACTCAAGCAAAATAAGAAAATGCAGTTTACCCTCTATCCATTTTCTTTTATAATAAGTTGAAGAAATCAAAAGCACCCTAATGCTGGAATATACAAACTCATAACTCCTTATTTAGGCAATACTATATTTTAAATAATACTTCGTATATCCTAATATAACTTCTAGTTTAGACAATACCGCCTATAAAATGTGGAATTAAATAAGCTATCGTAAGGACCTTTACCTAAACTCTTGAAACTCTTATGAGATATTTCATTGTTATGCTTTAAATATACAGATGTAGTAATCACTTGGTCTTTTTTATGGTTTATGAACTTTGCCTAAGAAGGGGATTGAAAGGCAACAGGAAATTCTAAGAGCAGGTCCAAGGAGAAGCAAAAAAAACACAGAGGGAAAACGACAGAAAAATATAAACTATCATGCCCATATAAGGAGGATCCTGCATCAGAAATGATGGGAAATGAACTCTACATCAGTTCATGTTATCATAATATTAAACCAAGTCAAATAAGTGAATTACTATTTGCTGAAGAATAGGACTGCCTATTTCAGAATGTGCAGTAGTGATAAGGCTGAACTATGTATAGAGTTGGCTTAATTTTAGGATTTACTGTTATTTTTAGTATTATAAATATCGAACAGCTTTAGCTTTGTAATTTGAAGAAGTTGATCAATAAAATTACTCTTTCAAGTTCTCTGTTTTTTCATTCTCTCCCAGAATAGAAATTAAGATAAATATTGTGAATATATATCTATAGTTCACATAATCCAAAGTAAAAAAGGCAAGCAAGTAAAATATACATAGTAATATAGTATATCTAATCCATCCACCCCAGCTTGAAGTTCTTACTTATTCCCAAGTAAAAGAAAAATCCAATATGCAATCTTTGTAACCTTTGTCAAGCGAATTACGCACTCGGAACAACACATGATGCATGATCTGTCATTAAAAGCTATGGGGCACACATGAAAGAATTACTTAGCAAGGAAAGAAAATCCACTCTATAAAATTGTAAAAATGAGGGCAAAGTAGACGGGTAGCAACAGTAGATGATTCAAGCCCTGGTTTCTCACATGAATTTTCATCCCTATTCTCCCACTGTCTCTTTTCATTCATATACTTCATTAGGGTATGCAACAAAACTGCAAAATAGCATAACAGATAGTAGACTAACCCAGACTTTACACTTCCCCCTCTTATTTCCTCTTAAGTTCTTAGCTCAGAAAAAATTTGTCCCGCCTACAATTGATACAAAGGAGAGAAAAAGAAGAATTAGTAAAGTATAAGAATGTTAGAAACTGAATGTTAGAAACTTGGTTGAAGTATAAACACGAACTGAATTTTTAAAGAAAATTTTAAAGAAAATCTAGAATGTTAGAAACTTGGTTGAAGTATAGACACGAACTGAATTGAAACATCGTAGAAAAGTCTTATCTTAGCGTGTTTGTGAAAACTGTGTAAAAAAGGGGAAAACAAGAACAAACAGGGAAGAAGACTTCAAACTGGCGGGGAAAATACTTTCAATCAGACTTCACAATATCAGCTTAATTTCTATATCATTTTATCCCAAACTTTAGAGGTCGGCTTAACTCATATACCTCCATACACTTTTCAACCTAGGGCTTTAAGACGATTTAAATCTAGTTAAGGTTTACATATGTTAAAACTTTGAAATGACCTTTAGTTGATTTAGTATTATGTTTAGTTGATTTAGAAGGTCTTTATTTTACATACTATTTTCAATTGCATTTTCATCTATTTGAAAAAAGACATGTTTGACAGACTGATAAAAGGCTTTTCTATATAGTATGTAAATGGATCTTTGAATGCAAAATTCTCTATCAAATTATATTAACGGAACTAAAACAAAAAAGTAAAAGTGTGAAGGGGTGGGTCGTTGTACCACAGGATGTTAGTGAAAAATGAGTAGAATTCACAAGTCCAAACTAATATGGAGTAAAATGTATCAAAAACAAAAATCTACGGAGTATTCAGGAAGGTTAAAGATGTAAATAAGATGATAAGAAAATATAAAGAATCTATATTTTTCTTGATGCAGATAGGGATTATTGTGAGCCGTAGATTTGTTCACAAATTTTAACCAATCACCGAGTGTGCTTTTGGTTCAACATGGGCTACATGCCTATCCCTTCTGATAGAGTATTAATCTTAGAGAGAAGCGAGAGCTAGAGAGAGAAAGTGAGTAATTATATTTCTCAACCCCCTATAACTAGTCCCAAGGGGTCTATTTATAGGTAAAAATGTGGATTTGGGCTCCTAGCCATGGGCTTAGGAGGCCCATTACAATAATCATGCCTTCTTTGGGCGAGATAGGGCCACTAATGGGCTGAGTACAATACTTAGTAAATAAAGTAGAGAGATGTAATCTGCCAAGACGAAGTCTGGCCGATGCGGTCCCATGGCCGATGCGGTCCATGGGCCGACGTGGTTACGGAAGTCCGGATTCGTATTCTGGGCCGGTTTGGTTTCTGGCCGATGCGGGCCCCACTACGCCGAAGGGGGCCGTGTAGACGCTCTTCGGGTCGTCGTTGACTTGAGTATGTGGGCCATGGGGTCCGGGCCCATATACTCTATCACCTTCTAATCCTACACTTCTACTATTACAGGATGCATCAAGTATTTTCAAACCTGACGCCATTTTGTGTTATAACTTCATTCCAAAATTTTTACAAGAAGTTGAAAATTTTTCAATGACCTACAAAACTGTGAACCTTTCAACCAAATCACAATTGATATCTATGGTTTCAAAATTCAGAATCTTGGATGCAAGATTCTGAATTAGTAGTGGTACAGAATTAGTAGAAGTTTCAAGTATATGACAATTCAAGTATGTACATATTCTGTATATATGCAAGATTCTCAAAATTCAAGTATGTACTTCTACTAACCTTCATTCAAGCTTATCACAACTGTATATGACATTAGATTGAACAACTAAAACTGCAGCAGCCAAATGGTAACAACCTAGGTCTAATTGCTATACAGAATGCTACATTTAGCTAAAGAAAATCTAAAATATTAGAAACTTGGTTGAAGTACAGATACGAACTGAATTGAAACATCGTAGAAAAGGCTTATCTTAGCGTGTTTGTGCAAACTGTGTAAAAAAGAGGAAAACAAGAACAAAGGAAGAAGACGCACCTGGAGAAGTGTGAATTTGCGGGAAAAATCGTCTGCCAACAGAACAACAAGGATTTATACGGCCAGGGGAGAGGAGTGAAGATGGGAGTCCACTGGATTTCCATAACTTCCTCTGGAGAGGAGAAGGATCGATGTGCTGAAATTAAAGAGAATAATAAATGCCAGAGTTATGATCAAGTGAAGGAAAAAAACTCACAAACAAATGCCAAAGAAGACGAAAGGACTGAGATGGATGCGGACCAAGAGGGAGTTTGAGCGTGCATCAATGAAGCGAGATCCCAGCCTGATTCCATCGAACGGATGGTCTTCTGCGGCCAAACTGCGGACAGAGGAAGGGAATTCTGAATTCCTGATTGGAACCGCTGGGCCTGTTGGGCTCGAGAGGAAGACAAATACGGAAAAGGACTGGTTCTCAGAATATAAACTAACGGGCAATTAACGGGAAAGAAACGGAGTGTTGGGGGCAAAGGCAATTGAAGATGAAAGTTTACAACCATTTAAGCATTATGTACATATCAACCAAGCCTAGAATACCACCAACAAATTTTTTATACCCACAATACCCTAACCTTCATTCAAGCTTATTATATTGTAGAGATTACATTTTGTTCATTTACTTGAACTGTTATACAATCAAATCTAGAAGCCTATGGATCTGCCTATGCAATTCATCGCAGAAGTACTCACCACAACAATATTTGGAGGAAAAATCGAAGAATATTAAGTTAAATCGAGACATGTTCGGATAATCGTTCATATGAGCTTGTGTCATTCGTTGTCACACATTATGTCTAAATGACAATGAGAAGAAGCATTAATTAATTTACACGAGAATGAGAGCGGTGTATAAATGACTTCAATTTATATCTTTACATCATTTACGGGTTTCAATGAGTTTGGGAGCTTAAGATTAGTTCAACAAAGTTGGGATCACATGGTATTGTAGGAAAACGATAGAATAGCAAGAGATCGTATAAATTAAATTACTTCTTTTGGCTTGCCTTTTGGAGATTAAAACTGCAGTGCGATTGTTGCATTTTGGAATCAACTCCTATTCGAGCTAACACTCGTTAACTTTTTTTGTCATTGATTTCCTTTGAGTTGGTTCTTGAGTGAAAGTTATTTTTTCTTTGGTAGTTCTTTATTTGTATTTTTCAAGTTCTCGTTGCTTTATATGCTATTGAGATTGGAAATAAAGGAATAAAGAATCTAACTAATAAATAATAAAATAAAAGTGAACTTTGTTTTTGGATGTCGGGAGTCCTGAATATAGGTCGAAAATACTAAATTCGATGTTGGGAGTCCTGAAATATACTACGTATTTAGGATTTGATAAATCCAAATTAATACTTAATTCATATTCTTCCCATCCAACTATTCCTTATGTTTAGTTTGTTGTCTTGTAGAAAGAACAAAAAGTCATTTAAGAGCTTAATAAAGTGCAACTTCACTCCACTAGTACGAGGCTTCATGACACACGATGACACGAAGATATCACTATATCAAATATGAACATGGCTGTTTTTAATCACTTTACTTTCCCCAAATCGTTAATGTTATTCTAACAGAAATATAATATGTGGTGGATCATCATTATCTTAGTCTAGACTATGTGAAAGTACTATTAACGAAATTATTTAAATACGGAGTAAATATTTTCAAAACTGTTAACAATAACAGTTTTGTTATTCAGCTATAGATAGTAACGGTAAAAAAGTCGAACAAGCACAATCACAAAGACAAATGATAACAATTGAAGTAAAGATAGATGCAAAAAGAAATAAAAATAGAGAAAAAGAAAGAAATATAAAGTCAAACATTAAATCTAAAAAAAAAAGATTCACACATTAAAACACATAAAAAAGTAGGAAAATTTTCAACATTTTCTTCGATCAGTCGATTGTACGCTTTTATCTCTCACTAGTCACTTTTATGTCCTACTATTTATTAGTAAGAATATATAAGGAAAAAACCCATTAAAAATTACAAAAATGTCATGTTAGGCATATTACAAAAGTTTAAGCCTCACACAACTAAATTCAGGTTCTACCCATTTTTAAGTTCTCTCTCTTGCACACTCTCTTTTAAGAGTTGGACTTGAGGTACACACTTTTACACATGTTTATGTAGGTTTTTTTTGTCTGTATACAGATAAAGCCTATTTGAAAATATGATTTGTCTTTATATAGACAAACAAAACCCTACACAGACATGTGTAAAAGTGTGTACACAAAAAAATGTGTATATTTAGAATTTTTCCTCTTCTAAAACTATCTAATGTATAATGTATGATGTGATTGAAGTTTTCTAATCTAATATGTAGTATGATCTAGTATGATCTCATTTGATCTATTAGATGTCTGATTACTAGTGTATAATTTATAACTGTGGAGGTCTAATCTAGTTTGAGATTGAAAGTTAAAAATATCTATAAATTTAGAGATGTTTGCCAATAGGATGGGGGAGATTAGTAATACGTGCTTCACATAGTGCTCACTCGGTTCAATGGGACTACTACCTCTGTCCCAAAATTAACTTCTCAGTTTGACTTCACACAAATTAAGAAAATAAATTTGACTTTACAATGGTGTGCACTGTTTTGCACTGCTTAAACACTGTTTGAACACTGTTTGACATTTTTTTGATATAGATTATTTGCCAAATAAGGAATGTTTTGAAGTGTGAAGTTAATTTTGGGACTGCCCGAAAAGGAAAGTGAGAAGTTAATTTTGGGACGGAGAGAGTATAAGATTTTCAATTCAAGCATAAAGACAACTTTTAATACTCTTAACCCCTTATATGGAATGGATATCGATATTGCTATCAGGATGACATCTAAGACTCTAATGAATTACTTTGTCCAAAAGGTTGATTCCACAATCCTAAAGTCCCACGTCCCTATCCGATAAAGCATGTGGAAGTTTAAATCACGGTATGTTAACCAATTCTAATGGTGGTTCTCCACTTAAGTACTACGTAGTTGATATGACATTTCAAGCCCGTTTTATCATTCTTACTCTGTCTCTATTCGTTTGGGGTGGAGGCAAGGCACTAAACTGAAATGAATCAGTACAAAAAATATTTTTGAGATAAAAGTTGAATGAAATTATAAAAACAAAAATATAGAAATTTTTAAAAATTTAGATTGAGCGGGCCAGGGATCGCCCCGCCCCTGGGCCACACATAGCCTCTGGCCCTCTACCTTTTTTTTTTCTCTTCGTTTCTGAACGGACTCAAACAACATCACAGGTAATCCGACCTCGGGAACGCCAATGGATCCGTTTTTTAGGCGCTATGAATACCCCGACTTGGCAAAACGAATTACGAAGCCTGATGAAGCAGCAAGATGTGGTGAATTGAAAGAAAGCACCTATTGTCCAAGGTTCACAGCAAAGCCGCCTAGAGAATCTATATGGGCCGCATCAGAATCCACCACCATATGACGATATGGAATATTATAACCCTTCATCTTCCCCATCCGATTCACCTCGGAAGCTTCAGGAGCAAATGAAAGAGAGGCGTAGGACTGCTGAAGACCACCTCGGATGATAATGATCCTACTGCTTCTCCAGTCACCTTCTCTGCCAAGTATTATCACAGGGTGTTCGATTCAGGCGATAAGGTTTTGGAATGTAATCCTATAAACTAATCAACTGCTTCTAGGACAAGCTTAGGGACTGCTCTGCATCTTTTAATCCGGTATCTATCTACCCCAATAAGGTAATCTGGCTTTCTTTATTTACTGGATGCACGTAAAACAACATGAATATTTAATTTGATTTTGAGCCATATTTATTTCGAGTGTCAGAATTACAAAAAAAAACAAGATATTGCTTTACTGCGGCACAAAGAGAGAACAAATTGGTAAAAATGACATATGGGTGATGTAGAGTGTAATTGCGACTAAGAGAGCTGATAAATAGAGAGGCAACAAGATCAACATCAGCAACACTTGATGATATAACCAACACTTAATGCTTAGGTGCACGAGTGAGTGTTCCATAAAGACTCGAGATTTCTTCCTGCAAAATTTAAACAAGATGAAGCTTTCACGCCTTTGATATACTAGTATAAATCAAAGGGTACTATATTATTAGGACAAATGGGCTTATGGACAAGGGGAAGGGTTATAGAATGTTTAATTTATCACAAATGTACCCATAAATCATCTCACCCTCACTTATTCGGTTTGGGTAAATTTGAGTTAATTTTAAGCATTCTACAAACCCCGCCCTAATCCTCTCCCTACATATATAGTTCTTCTTATCTCTAATGTTGCTAAAGTTTTTTTACAAAGCCACATTACCTCGTAATGTTTGAACAATTTATCTCTTCTTTTCTTCAGCGTTGCAGTGACCAAGTCATTTCCCAGTTCAAAGAGTTGTGGCTCAAGAATGACACCTCTTATGTGCTCAAAACCCCTCAACTGGTTTCAAAAAAGAAAATTGGTTACTGGGTGTCATAACAATATTAGCTCATCCAAGTAATGATGCATAAAAGGCAAAAAACAGATTGACAAAACAAAGTAACAAATACGTGACAAAATCATGCCTTTCAGCACATCATATCACTCTACATCAATGGGAACGATATAGCGACCGTGTTTTTTTGTCATTTTTTTTTTGTCGAAATATAATACGGAGTATTGTGTATTGATTTGTTTCATTCAGATTAGCTCAACCATAGGAGATTGGAATAGGAATGACACAAGCAGAAATGTACCTTATTCCTCTCTGCAACAGCCTTCAACTCAACAAGGACATAATTTTTCAATTTGTCAAAAGAACATAGTTCTTCAAAAGTACCAAAATGGCCATTTTGATGTGCCCATTTGGAGGTGTTCTCTTGATGGGGAACGACCACTGCAACCAACATAGACTTGAAACTGTCCCCATACACCCATATCTGAAAGTATAAATATCATCAAATATAATTGACTGGTCTTTATTTATCGGACATTTCCTTATACATTACTAAGTAAATGATTAAGTAAACATTACTCATTGGACCTAATGTTGATGATTAATTTTTGGACACAAATGTTAGAAAAAAGTTACCAATATTCACTGGCCAATCACTGCGTTGACAGTTGGTCATAGCCAGTTGACATTAGTGCCATAAAGTTAATAATTAACACTTTTGCTTAATGGATAATTACTTAGTAATACGGAGTATAACTTTTCCTTATTTCTATTTAGAAGAGATCGATTATCAAATTCAATTCAAACTGTTACTTACATCTTCAATAATAGGTGCTATACCATAAATCTTCTCTAGATACTCGACCGCGACATATTCTCCTTGAGAGAGCTTGATAAGATTTTTCTTTCTATCAATGATTTTTATAACTCCGTTAGGCAACATTTCTCCAATATCACCTGAGAATTTTCAAAAAAGAAGCTTTGAAGTAAGAAAAATACCTTTTTTCAGGTGATGTTCATCATCATCATCATCATAAAAAGAATAATTGAACCAAACCTGTATGGAACCACCCATCTTTACAGACTTCTCTTGTCAATTCTGGATTCTTGTAATATCCTGCAAAATTAGTTTTTCCCTTGACACATATCTCTCCTCGTGGGGGGTTTCCAAGCGGGTTGTAACCCATTTCAGAAACCTCCTCGAGACGCACTTCTGTGTATACAAATGGGGATCCAACTGTTCCGATCATGCTCATTTCATCTGGGTAGCATATTGTGCTCAACCCACAAGTTTCAGTTAGTCCTACATTTAAAAAATTGAAGTTAAGTAGTTATTAGTTTATAATTGGAATGCTATTGTTTAACATATGGAAATTTCATCCGGTTTGGTAGCAGTAATATTCTTGTTCTGTTACAGAAGAACAAATAGCTTTGACTTACTTATTTGTTTAAAATGGATGTGCTTGAATAAAATCAAGATCTTTCTGCCATATAATGATTACCAAATGGTCTCTAAGGTACCAGGATGAACTATTTCACAAAAGTTCCTTCCCAGATATTCCACATATGAATTAGGTGTGAACATATGTTGATGGTTTTTATATCTCTGTAACATTAATAGTACAAGTGTAGGTAGCCAAGTATTGGCAGAAGGGAAAAAATGGCTGTAGAGTAATTTTACCATATCCTTGTACCACAAATGCACAAGAGGTTACTCTCAAGAACTCTTCAATCTCACTACCTAGTGCTGCACCACCCGAAACTATTAGACGAAGTCTGCCACCTAGTCTCGCCTTTACCTATCAATGTGAGAGATCCTTAGCATTTTTTTTATATGCAAAGCTTTTTCTATAAAAACTTATAGGAGTGAACTGTTTTTTCTGTCCATCCCATGTTTGATCAGTCATGTTTGGTAGTGTACAACCAATTTGTACAGATTCTTTGTTCTCATATAAGATTTTCGTCTATATAGATTTGTATATGTGTGATTTCTGTCTGTTAGAACTTACAATTAATGTGTTTTTTCTCTCAGGTATAAAAACACACAGCCACACAAACAAAATCTTGTTATTGTGAATGAAAATCTAAAGATATATTTTTGCACAAAATAGTTAAACAAACAATAGGCACTATCTAAAAGATTTCAAGTCGAAACATAAAAAAACAAAACCTATTTTTATGATGATGGTATGTGAAATTTCCTCCATTTAAACACAGTTGAAGAGAGTAAAAAACCTTTCTAAAAGCAAGTAAATCAGCCAGGCGCGCCGCAGCTCTGTGCTTGAACCCTAGCTTCATCCATTTGAGTTTGCTACATCATGTGTAAAAAACAATTAAGTTATTGCTTATTGGTACATAAAAATTATGGATGAATGACTAGGTCTCACACAAAAGGAAATGGGCAAACACTTACTAGTTGTAAAGAAAGTTGAAAACTGCCCTCCTAAATGGATTGAGTTCATCAAGTGCTTTTAAGACACCTACAATAAAGACGTCATTTAGGACAATAATAACAACACATCCCAACCAAAAATGCATCAAAGTGAGTATGGGCATTTATGAAAGTAGAAAAATGTTCCATACCTTCATGAATTCTTTCATAAACTCGAGGTACTCCAGCCAAGAAGGTGGGCTTCAACTCGGCCAAGTCATCTTTTATCTCGTTGATATTCTGATGCAAATTTGACAACTCTTAACTCCACTTTCCTTAATTTTATTTGCATGTTATGTTTTCTCTCATATAGGCAACTTGTCCCACACGGGAAAAATAAGGTAACAGGCCTTACAAGTAAAACACTACGAGGCTCTTTTGGGACTTACGGGGTACTTTGCTTCACAATTTACACTCGTACGAAATTGTTTTTTTTAGGCCAAACCCACATGATTTTTTTGGAATTTGGGCTTATACTAATCGAGTTAGGTAAACAGTTATATTCAAGGGGCATAAGGGTCAGATAGGGTCTCGAACTTACAAAAAAATGTAAAATAAGGGCATATATAGGATGCTCTGTACGGCCGATGCCATTTGGGGTGGTTCCCGGTGAAATTTTTCGATGATTTTTTTTTAGCATTTTATTCATTAAGTCTAGTTTACTCATATCAAATTTAAACTAAAAATTCAATCGGGAAGGCATTCAAATGAATTCTTGAAGAAAACTGCGCAGTTAAAAGCGCAGTTATCTTCAAGAATTCATTTGAATGCTTTCCTGATTGAATTTTTAGTTCAAATTTGATATGACTAAACTAGACTTAATGAGTAAGATGCTCAAAAAAATTCATCAAAAAATTCCATCGGGAACCGCTCCAAATGGTGTCGGCCGGCCATAGCATCATATATAAGGCCTTATTTGACATTTTTTTGTAAGTTCGAGCCCCTATCTGACCCTTATCCCTATTCAAGGTGATTTGGTCTCTTATTTTTTCCAAAGTGGGACCAGGGTTGTATCCCAAGAATAATGGAAGGCCACTATCAATGAAGCTATGATGGCACTTATATTCAAGGAAATTCCTTTTGTACATGGCAGTTTCTACACGCCGGTCAAATTGTCTGTGTATAGACAATTTGACCAACGTTCTATGAAGAAAACAGATTTCCATTGTCTGTGTACAGATAATTGTCCGTATACAGACAATTTAAATTGTTTGTGCATAGACAATTGAAATTGTCTGTGACACATAAAAAGAAAATTTGTTTGTATCGAAATCGGTTTTCTTCATGAAACGCCGCTCAAATTGTCTGTACATAGACAATTTGACCGACGTGTACACCGGCACGTACATGAAGCGGGATTCTATATTTAATGTAATTCCTTCTCTTATTATTCCAAAACAAAATGTGAGACTTGGATTGTATAGAAGGGCTCAAGGGCATAAGTGCATAACTACGGGTGCATGTTAGGTTCCACTCGCCCCAAATTTGAAAAATACTTTAAATATAGTGTATAAAATTCCGTATAGTTTTATTCCATTTTTTTTGTACCGGTCGAGTAAATTTATTGATAACAATAACGAATGGTATATATGCCCAATAGTAGCTTATACATTATGAAAACTTGAAAAGAAAAAAAATCAAACAGAAAAAGAAAACAAATATTGGAATAAAAGTCAAAGTTGCGTCAGCTCACCCCATGGTAGTAGCCAACGGAAGCGCCCTTGAAGAAGAAGTACTCTTCAATCATGCGATCAAGGATATGGGCAAGAGGTAGGAATGATATGTACACATCATCAACCGTCATCTACCATATTCCATATATGATATTGCTTATCAGTTTAACATTCTTTACTGAAATGGCTCGTTTTTTGCCCATACAGAATTTAAAAGAATAATGTTGGCTATTAAAGGCAAAACCAAGCAAAAAGCTTTTTACCTTATCTTCAAACTGGTCCATAAAAAGATCCAACCCTCTGGCAGCTGATGCAATATTTTCATGGGTCAAAATAACACCTTTTGGCTCTCCACTAGTTCCACTAGTGTACATTATTGTGCAAATATGATATGGCTGTGGTGGTGTAACCTCTGTTGGATTCTTCTTACCCTGAAATCTTCTTCTTTAATGTTATGAAGATAAAGGTAAAAATGTAAATTGGATAAAGAAAAGAAATTACCCCACTGTTAAGGTGCCAATTTATATTTCACTAGAAAAAAGGGAGAAGGGATTTTTATGTTTCCTCCATTTTGTTAGACAAAAAAACTCAGTGTTCACATTTACTTTGACAGTTTGCACTTTGACCTATATGGTTTTCATACAGCCCAACAGTAAATGGTAGGGTAGTCAAAAGTTGGAAATGGAAGATGGAAGAGTAAGGATATTCATGTCATTTAATATTTCATTGTTGCACTTATATGCCATTTCATACACATATATAAACCTACGTACATTAACAAAAAACATCTCTTAAAGAGGTGAAGGTTTAAAACAAGTCAAAATGGTTATTATGAATAGCTAATTTAACAACAGCTAATTGTCAAAAATGGCCGATGCCAGTTGAGAAAATTACCATTTCAAGAAACTCATTCCAAGAGTATGGCTTGATACCCATGGAGACAGCCATATCCTTCTCTTGTATTGTTAGCGAACTGAGACAAACAACAACTGCAACACACAGCAAGCTTAGTGATAACAATGTACTTCGGCAGAAACAACTCAATGGGAAGGAAATCGTACTCACCTTTAAGCCGTTTCAAGTGAGTACATTCATCACTAAACAGCTGCAAATTCAAATATTTAAACAAATCAGATGCACAAGACTGGAAATCAAAACCAAACTAAATGCGGAAAATGATCCTTACTTCTTTCACTTTCTTGTCTTGGACAAAAACTACATCAACCTCAGCATGGCCTATTATATAATCAACAGCCCCAGATCCTGCATAGCAATGCTTAAAGAAAGTAAAGAACTTATAACCCGAAAACATTTTCTTCTCAAGATGCAAAGAGAAGTATCCATTACCAAGGGTGTCATAGAGTGGAACACAAATAAGGTTCTGGGCACTGCAAGCCTGCAAAAATAAGGCAATAACAATATCAGATTATGCTCTTTTGAAAATCAGGGCAGCCACAAACATAAGAAATAAATACACAAGTAAATAGATAAATGAATAAAAGTAAATGAGATGATGTTTCTATAACCTCCATTGCCACAATCCACTGAGGGCAATTGGATCCATAAATTCCGATACGAGCACCCTAGAGTAGAGCAAAATTTTTATTTTCAATGCCTCATTTGATATAGTAGAAGCTATACAACAATACACGAGCGTAAAATTTTATGCAAGTGATTATTCACTTACAGGTTGAACACCATGCGCTCGCAATGCAGAACCAGCCTGCAGAATTTCTTCGAACACTTCACTGTAGGTTTTCCAGAAATATGGACTCCACTGAAAGAACTTATATGAGTTAATGTTCAACAAAACAAGTACTTGAAGAATTTGTCCCACATTGGTTAAATATGAAATAACTAATTAACGTATCAAAACATTTGGGTTCTCTGCTAAAGTCAACCTAATGAGAGAAGTATAACCATATGAGGCTTATTCTGCTTATCAACCTAACTTTTGGATATGCTTTACCTTAAAATTCAATCTAAACCAAACAACTCTTGCCAAATAGTCCTATATATAATCATATCGACTAGAGGTATTGGACAAATTCGAGTGTACCTTTCCCTTCACGAGTTCTCGCCACCCCAACATTTTATTTTTTGGATGCTTCTCCACAGAATCTCTGTTCATCAATGTGTTATATAGATGTTATGAATGTAAAAGCTGTAGTACATTAATGATTTCATGTGCTGGTTCAAATTAGTGAACAAAAAAGTAAGAATGATTTACTTTAAGAGTTCCCAAGCAGTAGATAAGTCAGGATTAGTTGGAGGAAATTCATCCTTAGCCAAGAGGTTCCGGTATACAGGGCCTACTGATGGCTGCCCGTCACGACCTTCCTCCCCCTCCTTGACCTTTACAGAAAACATCTGTGGTGATGTGTAGTTTAGTAAGATGTAATGAACTATAATGCAGTTAATCAAAACTACCAACTCACATAGTTATCAAATATCACAAGTCTTACTTGACCCATGAAGACCATTCTATCTCTATCAAGATGAATTAATTGTTTGATGGCATCTTTTCCTTGAAATAATTACTTCTTCAAAAAGAACCAAATTTTTCCGTTTTTATTTTTGTTGAGGAAGTGTGTTAACCCATTAGATTCCCGTAGAATCATTTTTATTTTAAAAAAACTAAAATATATTACTTCTGATTTTGTTAAATACTTTTCTGTGCTCCACAAGTCATCCCAAAGAGATTAATTCCTCACGTACTATGAGGAAGATATTCCCCAAAGCAACTGCCAAGCAAAAACAGAAAAACTTAGATGCTCTGTTCTACAAGTCTAATGCTTGTCACACAATATTTTGAAGCAACTTTAAGTCAATGCTTTCTAAAATCTGCTTCCTAATTTCCAAAAATAATAATTTCAAACGCACAACTAACCACTCCAAATCTAAACTATATATCTTCTTCAACCATTTATAAACGAGAAGTTTAATTTAGAAATGCATGCTAACTGACCAAAATGTATTAAGTGAATGATATTTAAGGCTCAAAATACTCCTTATGACTTTTACTTTGCTGCTGGATAATGATCAAAGACAGAAGGGGATCAGAACATGTATTGCTGAGAAAACATTAAAACATGCAAATATTTGATCTTTAAGTGTTTGAGAAGATTAAAAAGAAGAAGAAGATTAAACGCAAAATACATGGAAACACATAAAGCATGAAATCCGTAATATCAGCAGGCTTTAAAAAACAAAAACTAAAAACAGTTTCATCTTCCCAGATATAAATCAGCAAAATCTCGTGAATCTACCCTCAATTTCCACCCTCTTTTTCTTTTTCATTCTCATTCAAGAGAAACAAATAGAAAAAATGCATTTACCTCCACTAATAATATTTTAAAATGTAACTCTGCACCAGAAAATTTCCTTTTCTTTGGATATAATGTTGCTGAAAAAAACCTATATTGTACAGAAAGACGGAAACGTATTAAACACATGGAAACGGGAAACGTCATCTTTTAATTAAAAAAGAAGTGTTTTAAGAGTTTCTAACGAGTTTCTATGGCGTTACCGAGAGTATCTTCTCATAGTGTATGTGTGTATTATTGTATTAATATATATAATCAATTGTGCGTAAAATCAAACAATGAAACAAACCATAATATCTGGGGAAATACCTTTGGATTCTGAAGACTGAAGCAGCTACTAGCCAAAGAGCTAGAGTGAGCTTAAGGTGGTATCACGAGGAAGAACAAAATTATATGAATCTATATGCATTTAATATTTCCTTAAAGTTGTTAAACTTATATAAATATTAATTGATGGAACTGTGGCAACAAATTCTCCACCAACTATTCTGAATCTCGTCTGCATGATTTTTTATGTATTTATTGATGACATGTGCAAACTTTCACCTTTTGGGAATTCCACATAGTCCCAATTAATGATGGAGTGTAAATATTTAATAGGTTCCACAAAATGGCGTGACCTACAAATTCACACATTGCTCTCATATCAATTTTGTCACCCGTGCCATGCACGGGGCATATATTATACAGAGTATTACTACCTTCATCTCACCATGATTGAGACAATTCGGTTTACGATGCTTGACTGACGATAAAACAAACAGATCTCTGTCTATATTCAAATTATTTTTAGGGAAAAAATTTAGATATTCAGAAACTACATTAAGACTTTACAAAGACGCAAAAACCAGAATCAAATGTGATTAAAAATTGATATATAAAGTAAGAGGTTAAGAGTGATTTGTATTGATCAAGTGAATAGTGTCTGAGACAATCTTAGCGGGATAGAGGGAGTACGTATTAAATAATAGACATATCATATATTTAATTAATGTGTAAATGAATAAAGAGAGTAAAGGCGTAATGTACACAAATACTTAATTAAGCAAAAGATACATTTGACGCATAATTGATACTATACAAATTATTTTTTGGTAAAACAATAAAGAAATATTACAATAAGATTTCCGTGGCCTACACATTCCGAAACACTTTCTTGTAAACAACATTGATAGTGCGGTCGATTTTTCGCCATCTACACCACAAATCAATATTTTTAATCTCTTACGATTTGTTACTTTCGATAATGCAATATCAAGTAAATCATTAAATTAAAACCTTTATATTAAAATTCGGACGAAATCTAGCCCAATTATTTTAACGGTATTAAATTATGTATTTATATTTTAACATACCACTAAAATAAAGTTTTTTAAAATTATTAAATTATGTGTTTATATAGAAGTTATAAATGTTATACGTAGTATATAATAATGATTTGAAATGATTTTCAGACTTGTGTTTATTTGTACTATCAAATACTATCTATTTCTGATGATTCAAACAGAATTAAAATATATTTAGATTTCCTTGCATATTATTAAAACAAAACCAATTATCGAAACAATTATTTGCATTGTTTGATAGCTCATTTAAACTTTTGCGAGATTTGGACCCGGAGTTTAAATGTTGCAAGGCTTTTGGGAAGGTTTATCACACCTTTGTCATTAAAACAGAGCACAGCGTTGCAATAAAAAAGGTGAGCAGTCAGAAAATTTTCAAAGGCGGCCTTGCGGATCACGTTAAACAGGAAATTTCTACATAGTATTATCAATTATGCACCGTCTACGCCGCCCGCGTATCCTGCGCCTCTTCAATTCGAAGTCCTCCCTACGAAGAAGATCCGTCTACGCCACCCGCGTATCCTGCGCCTCTTCAATTCAAAGTCCTCCCTACGAAGAAGAAGATCTACGAAGTATTTTCGAAGGTTGTGGGATGCGGATTATTATATGGACATAATAGGAATTATATAAATGTGTGGTTGTACTTAGTAAATACGTGGCTGTGAATAGAATTTCCCTTTTTAAAACAGTGCAGTTGGACCCAGATCGAGCCTGACCGGGTCCAAAAATTCTTTAGTATAGTGACTTTGATAATTTTTTACATATAAAAGAAAAATACATATGTTGAATTTTAATACTACGTATCTCTATATAATAATAATAATAATAATAATATAATAAGCTTGAATGAAGGTTAGGGTATTGTGGGTATGAAAAAGTTGTTGGTGGTATTTAAGCTTAGTTGACATGTACATAGTGTTTTAATGCTTGTAAACTTTCGCCTTCAATCAGCTTTGTCTCCCAACGTTCCGTTTCTTTCCCGTTAATGTCCGTTAATAATCCAAGTATCAGCCTCGTCTCGGTATCCGTATTCCTCTCCCAACAGGCCCATACGTTGGAATCAGATATTCCCTTAGACGATACACGCTATGAGCCCTCCCTCTTTGTTTGCAGTTTAGCCGAACAAGACATCTGTTCGATCGAATCAGGCTGCACATCCCGCTTCGCCGACACACGCTCAGCCTCCCTCTTGGTCCACGCATCCTGCTCAATCCTTTCGTCTTCTTTGGCATTTGTCTGTAAGTTTTTTTCTTGAATTGATCATAACTCTGGCATTTAATTTCAGCACATCGATCCTTCTCCCCTCCAGAGGAAGTTATGGAAATCTTCACTCTTCTCCCGTGGCCGTATAAATCCATGTTGTTCCTTTGGCAGACGATTTTTCTCGCAACCTCACATTTCTTCAGGTGCGTCTTCTACCTTGTTTGTTCTTGTTTTCCCCCTTTTTACACAGGTTGCACAAACACGCTGATATAAGCCTTTTTAACGCTCTTTCAATTGAGTTGGTGTCCATACTACAATCAAGTTTCTAATATTCTAGATGTTCTTTACCTAAATGTAACCTTCTGACAAAAGATTACAGCTAAGGTGTTAACATTTGGCTGCTATGGTTTTCATTGTACTAGACTAACAGTACATTTAGACATTACAATTGGATTTTTGGTTTCAATGATTTCATAGACTATGTATTGCACCTTGAAAAGCTTTAACATCACGTATGCATAGCTATGGATTTCTGTTCCAGAATGTTTTGCTTGGAACACATTTTGTAATGTTCAAATTTTTGGTATATTTGAACATCTCAACTTACTCCATCAATAGTAAGATGTTATTCTGTACACAATAGAAACTTCAACTAGGAATTTTTTTACCTTCGTTTTCTATTTTCCTTATTTGCATATTTAGTAAGGTTTGATTTGTGTTCCAATTTTGTTAAATCAGAAAGTTGATTCCAAGCAAGTTTTTTGATTTTTGAAAAGGAAGAACTACACATAATAAGGAAACTAAACTCATTTATATGCTTCCCAAAGCTGCTCATCATCACTTCCCCTAAACTTTAGAATTACCCTCTCTTATGAGACTGTTAGGCATAGAAGTTTATGAATTGTATGGACTTTTCATGAGGCTTTGATCCTGAGGCCCTTACCTTACCTATAGATTTATGATTAATCTTTAGAGCAGTAAAAAAAATGTTCATTGGAATGAAATTCAGTCATTTTTTGATACACCGAGTAATTGAATACAAATTACATATATACAGGAGTACACCGACTCCCTCACTGACATTTCATTTTTTGATACAGATTAAATTGAATATTTGAATAATCCATAGATAGTACTAACTTTAGATGAAGTCAAACTTGAACTCATTTCCAATTTTAGAAAATTGTTTATTTCCACATCCAAATCATAAATACGTAGTAATATCTCTGGAATTAAATGATAAAATATTTGCAGCCTGATACCAAATCAATCAGATAACATCAGTAGCCTGAAGTCTTGAACGAATAGTTAATACTTCGTATAAGACTGATTTAGGCATAGCAGCCTGGGCAGCAAAATATTGATCCACTGTAGAAGGAAATAAAAGTATGGCGAACATATGATGGTGCGATGGATTTTTTAATACTACGTATAGTTTATCATGTGGCTTGTACAACCATGGTCTTCTTTGATTTTGTGAGAACCAAAAATCATGGGGTACTTGTGTTCCCCAAAGCTTTCTGCCTTTTAGCGTTGCAATTTCCTCTGTAAGTTTTTTGCTGATAAAGAAATTATCAAGGCTTACTTGGTGGTAATAAAAAAGGTCTTCTTACAGGATGTGAGAAATATTGCTTAATTTCTACTTTAACTTGACAAGACCACACAAAGAAGTTCAATGTAAGAGTGTTAATGGATTATGTATCCCTATTGATTTTCATTTTGCTTTTTTTAACAAATAGTCCATCGAAATTCATTCGTAGTATAAGTTATAGGTATTGGGTACTCATGTAGGATTTATGGATGGGTGAGCAATTAGACATTTAGACAACCTACTTACCTACAAAACAATTACTAGGCTTATGCATCCCTTGAATGTTTATAAATAACAAAACAAGGGAGGGAAGTTGCTCTATTTAAAGTAAAGGAATTATGTATTGAGATTAAAGGTGCTACAGGTCAATTATGTTTAAGCTGTCAGAGTAATCCGTATGAAAACATAGAACATTCTCATTTTTAATGGACCAAATGAACAAGCATGAGCCTTGTTTAAGTGTCATTCAACAAATATTGATGTGGTGGAAGTACTAAATTTCAATAACATGTGCGGTTTATATACTTTACAATAAAAACTGAATACTACTAAAAATGAATTAGCATACCTCTAACAGATCAGTTGAAATTTGAATGCCAAACCAATGCTACAGGTCAGTTTTAATTAGCATACCTCTATGCATAACATTTGTAGTTCTTTCATTTATCTAGATATAATCTTTCCCGTGAGTAAAGCACCAAGAGAAGAAGGTCAGCAGACTGAATGCATGTGTTGGAGTCTTTCACTAGAACATTTCTTGATGTGTAATTTTTATCTGGCGCTTCTCTGCTTTTTGAACTTAGTATAGCTTAGTACAACTCCTAATATACAAGGCCTGACACATAGTAATGGTAGTAGCTAATTTATTATTTTGATATATGTCATCGTGTGCTTATGCCAAATGTACTCTTATGACTTATCAACCTCTCAATTAGTCAGGTAGTTTGTAAGTTTTATATATCGCTCGTTGTGCTTAAGCTATGATGTAAAAACTTATACTTTGTATAATTTTCTTATGTTCTTGTGGTGGAACAAAATGTAAAATTGTATACTCCGGAAGTTTGTAAGTTCTACATAAATCAATATTACACTCTCCCCTTTAACTTGTTCTCAAGTTCTTGTGGTGGAAAAGGTAAAAGTTAGCAAATGTGAGAAGGGGTGGAGCTTGGTGAAGGAAAGATTGATACTGCACTTTTTTCTTTCTGTACGTATGTGGAAAAATCAGTTTTTTGAAAAATATTTACTGGGATGAAGAATACTATTTCTATAAGAACACAAACATTGGGAGTTGGGACTGTGGACTGTGGTACACGTTGAGCAAAACGGAAGATTTAAATGGATAGACTATATTATGTTATCTACTCTGTTGGACTTCAATAAACCCTTTTTCTCCATGCACGTTATGTGTTCCTTTGTTATTGCGCCCAATTGGTCAATTTTTCATATTCCAAATTACCCTTAAGACTCCAAACTTATACTCCTAAGGGGTTTAAAAAAACTATTTGTGTGAGGCAACTCCGAAATGATTGTATTGGGCATTTACCCCTCGCGCATCGCGCGACACATTACTAGTATCAATTATAAGCTCAAACATTAGGAGGTCGTTTGGAAGCATTATTTTTCGGTTTATCAGACTTATCAGTCAACTTTTTCACCAAACACGTAACTTTTGCTTTTGCGTGCTGAATTGTGTAATAAGCAGAAAAAGTAAGATTAAAGTTACTTTTCTGGCTGTATTGGCTGAAGTTACCGTGGATGACCATTTTAGCTATTTTTACATATAATTTTTTCTTTACTTTATTAATAAAATATTTTTTTCTTCTTAAATCAGCAGAATCAGCCAATGCAGCCACTTCAGCCAGAACTTCATAAATTTCAGCAGAATCAGCCAAATCAGCCGATTTTCATGCCGCCAAACGGGCTCTAGCAATAAGAAAGGAAAAAAGCATTATTAAATGGATAGACAATTAAAATATGAAAGTCATGATTGTTAACAAATTCTGAAACACTTCTTGTTTTGTTTTTTTACTCCAGGGGGCGTCTGGGGGAGGGGGATGGGGAGCCTGGAGTAATCTAGGCTGCAACTCAGCCCATTGAGTTTCGAACCCGAGACCTCTCGTAAGGGAGAGTGAGTCGACGGCCAGTTGGACTGGATCGCTTCCTCTCCGAAACACTTCTTTAAAAAACAACATTTATTATTACGTTGCTACGTACTCTAGCCTTCATTGTCACATGTAAAATTCTTCAACCCATTAGGATCAGTAATACGCGAAAGAGTTACATACAATTGAGCATGACTAAAAATTGATTTTCGGAATACCAATCCAAACATTAGATAAAGATTGATCTTGACTCTTATTTATTGTCGGTATGTTTTCTAGATTAAATGAAAAATAGTATTAAGCATTATATTGAATTCTGTTATAATATGGAAGGAAATAAGCAGAAGATCAGGGAGAGAAATTATAGTATGAATACTTAGTGAGAAAGATGTTATTAGAAGTGTGATAATGTTGTAATCTTAGTATGTTAATTACAATGAGAATGACTCCTATTTATAGGAGAAAGTGTGAGCTCAATGAGATTAGGAGATCATTGTGAGCCACACATTTATCACCTTGAAATCATAATTATGATTTCCTAATTATTTATATAATGGTGATAATAATTCCTAATCAGGAATAGTAGGAAGATGACTAATTCAATTATATTTCAACACTCCCCCTTGAATGGTCATCTTCTAATTATTCTGGGGTATTAGTTTCATAGTATTATAATGTACTGTCTCGTTAAAAACCTTTGTCAAGAAAAACCCAGTGGGATAAAAACCTGACGAAGGGAAAAAGAGTGCAGTGCATTATATTACTCCCCCTCAATTTAACATATATCTCGAAGACGATACATTCCAATTTTATGGACCAGTTCTTCAAATTTCTTCGGTGCCAATGACTTTGTGAACAAATCAGCAGGGTTGTCGCATGACTTGATTTGTTTGACATCAACCGTTCCGTCTTTCTCAAGATCATGTGTGGAGAAAAGTTTTGGTGCTATATGCTTTGTTCTGTCCCCTTTGATGTAACCTCCTTTGATCTGAGCTATACATGCTGTATTATCTTCATAAATCACAGTAGGATTAGAAGTAAAAGATTTTATACCACATTCATTTTGTATGTGCTGGATCATTGATCTCAACCAGACACACTCACGACCTGCTTCATAAAGAGCAATTAATTCTGCATGATTTGATGATGTTGCAGTTAATGTTTGCTTCATTGATCTCCATGATATAGCGGTATCACCATAGGTGAATAAATATCCTGTTTGTGATTTTGCCTTTTGTGGATCAGACAAGTATCCTGCATCCGCGTAGCCAATTAAAGTGGCATTTGCACCATTCTTGAAATACAATCCAAGATCGATTGTACCATTGAGATATCGGAATATATGTTTGACACCATTCCAATGCCTTCTTGTTGGGGAAGAACTGTACCTGGCTAATAAATTTACAGAAAAAGCAATATCTGGTCGAGTATTATTAGCCAAATACATTAATGCTCCAATAGCACTCAAATATGGTATTTCGGGACCAAGGATTTCTTCATCATCTTCACAAGGTCGGAAAGGATCATCATGCACATTGAGAGATCGAACCACCATTGGAGAATTGAGTGGATGTGCTTTATCCATGTAAAATCGCTTCAAAAGTTTCTCGGTATAATTTGATTGGTGGATGAAAATACCATTTCTCAAATGTTCAATTTGAATGCCGAGACAAAATTTTGTTCTCCCAAGGTCTTTCATTTCAAATTCTTTCATGAGATATTTTGCAGTATTTTCAATTTCATTAGGAGTTCCGATTATATTCAAATCATCAACATATACTGCAATTATGGCGAATCCCGATTCGGATCGCTGAATGAAAACACATGGACTAATAGGATCATTTTTATACCCTTCTTTAATCAAATATTCACTGAGACGGTTATACCACATGCGTCCAGATTGTTTTAATCCATATAATGACTTTTGCAATTTTATGGAAAATAAATCTCGAGATTTCGAGCTATAAGCATCAGGTATTTTAAAGCCTCCAGGAATTCTCATATATATGTCTGTATCGAGTGAACCGTATAAATATGCGGTCACCACATTCATTAGGCGCATTTGCAGCCTTTCAAAAACAGACATGCCAATTAAAAATCTTAAAGTTGTAGCATCAACTACTGGAGAATACGTCTCATCATAATCGATTCCTGGCATTTGAGAAAAACCTTGGGCAACAAGTCGGGCTTTGTATCTAACGATTTCATTTTTCTCGTTGCGTTTACGCACAAAAACCCATTTAAAACCGACAGGTTTTACGCCTTTTGGCGTATGGACAATTGGTCCAAAAACATTACGCTTTTCTAGCGATTTTAATTCTACCTGAATTGCTTCATTCCATTTTGGCCAATCATTTCTACGACGACATTCGTCAATAGATTTAGGCTCATTGTCATCGTGTTCATTCATTATATCTGTGGCGATGGCATATGAAAATATATCATTAATATCAATATCATTTCTATTCCATTGTATTCCATTAGAAACGTAATTAATTGAAATTTCAAAATTATCGACGTTTCTATCTTTATCTGGAATATTTACCTCTTCGAAGGTGATTGGATCCTCTTTTGAGGTATCATTATTATTGATGTTATCTTCAAGGCCGATATTTTCAAAATGTTCATTTTCTTCTTGAGAAGGTTGAACTTCTTTGGCATCACAAACTACAACTTGCTGTTTAAACTTTCTTGGTTTCAAATCTCTTGAACCAAGTGGTCTACCACGTTTTTTACGTATCATAGATTCATTAGCAAGTGTTCTTTCGCTAATCTCCGCAGGAATTTCTATTCGAGAAGGAGCATTCATAGCTGGAACATGTGACTTTGTTACTTTCTTTGAGTCTGTGAAAGCATCAGGCAATTGGTTTGCAACATTTTGTAAATGAATAATCTTTTGAATTTCTTGTTCACAAGCATTTGTGCGAGAATCAAGAAAAGATAAATTTGTTGCATTCCAAGTAATATCTTTCGTACGTGGGTCCATTTCTTTAATATCTCCCCCTAAGGCTGGGAATATTGTCTCATCAAAATGACAGTCATCGAACCGCGCGGTGAATAAGTCACCGGTCATAGGTTCTAGATAATTAATAATTGAGGGTGATTTAAAACCAACATAAATTCCCAGCCTTCTTTGAGGACCCATTTTAGTACGATAAGGTGGAGCAATTGGTACATACACAGAACAACCAAATATTTTTAGGTGTGATATATTTGGTTCTTTACCAGATATTAATTGTAATGGGGAAAATTTATGATATGTCGTTGGCCTAAGCCGAATTAAATTTGCAGCATGCATTATAGCATATCCCCATGCAGATGATGGTAATCTGGATTTCATCAATAATGGTCTAGCAATTAATTGTAATCGCTTAATTAAGGATTCGGCAAGACCATTTTGTGTATGTACATGTGGAACTGGATGTTCCACATCAATCCCAATTGACATGCAATAGTCATTAAAAGATTGGGATGTAAATTCTCCTGCATTATCAAGTCGGATTTTCTTTATCGAATAATCCGGAAATTGTGATCTCAAACGAATAATTTGAGCAAGGAGATTTGCAAATGCAAAATTTCTAGTCGATAAAAGACTGACATGTGACCAACGTGTTGATGCATCAATGAGCACCATAAAATATCGAAACGGTCCACACGGAGGGGTAATTGGCCCACAAATATCTCCTTGAATTCTTTCTAAAAATGCAGGAGATTCAACTCCAATTTTGTATAAAGATGGCCTGATAATTAATTTGCCAAGAGAACAGGCAGTGCACGGAAAATTACTTGATTGTGGAATCTTGACATTAGTTAATGAATGTCCACGTGAATTTTCAATAATTTTGTGCATCATAGTGCTGCCTGGATGACCTAAACGGTCATGCCACAAGATAAAGGAATTGTGGTCATAAATTTTAGATACCACATTTATCTCAATTGGACTGATATATGTATAATACAGTCCCGAGGAATATGCTGGCATTTTTTCAGAAATGTATTTATTGCCAGATCTATTTGTCGTTAGACATAAATATTCCTTCTGATTTTCAGACATGGTTTCAATATGAAAACCATTTAGACGCAAATCTTTAAAGCTCAAAAGATTTCTCCGTGATTTACTGGAGTATAAAGCGTCTTTAATTATTAATTTTGTCCCTTTTGGGAGAATCACACAGGCTATTCCAGAACCTTCAATGAGTTTAGCAACACCTGAGATTGTATTGACATTAGCATCAACTAATGTCATATGAGAAAAATAATCTCTATGTCTCAAAATGGTGTGCGTTGTGGCACTGTCTATTAGACATTGTTCAGAGCCACTTGGAGAAATTTTAGTTAACTTCATATCTTCGCGAAGATAAAAATGAACAAACATTAGTTCAATATTGTAATATAAATTGTACATTATTCAATAGTACATTTAGAAGTGCATAAATTTTAAATTACAAATAAGCACTCTAAATAAAAATTGCATACAACAAATTTTATTTTAAAATATACTCCCGTACGATAAAACAAATTGTCAATCGAAGCTTATTACGTAGTACTGTATTATTTTCAATTTGATTGATATATAGCCTGTAAGTCAGTAACTTTCACTTGTAACTTTGATTGATATATAGACAAAGAGCACTATTTGTTCATTTTTCTTTGTATTCTGTATCCAGGCCATTTTCTTTCTTACCTTTCGTGCGCTGCAACGATGGTAAGTTTTACTATGAGTTTGGAAAATTATTTTAATTTATATGGAAACCATAGACTGATGAGTTGGGATGATATATATATATATATGAAGGAGAAAAATATACCAAAAGTGAGGTACTCCACTGTGATTATACTTTTGACAAACGAATGAAGTAATTTAGTACATATAGTACGTAGTACATACTTGTACTTCTTATTAATTGCTACGGAGTAGATTATAGGTTGTGTGGTAGTGCATGTATTAAATAAACTGTGATGGGTTTTATTTACTAAAGGTACTCATCAATTCATAGCTTGAGTATATACTCTATATATACTCTATATATCATCAACGTACATATGTATAATCAATGTGTTTTACAGTGGGTGACTTTGCCTTATCTCTTTAGGTAACTCCAAACAAACAAACAAAAATCTTGCAGCTAGCTCATTCAGTGAAGTATAATGCATTATTGTTCAGTACCAAAGTGTACAACTCATAGCATTAAATGTATTGTCTTTTGATGCCTCTTAAAATATCTAGACTATTCTTCTTGGTATTTATGATAGGTCTTTGGTAAAAAAATATGCAGTGTAGCTAGAGTATTATTTTAAGAGTTCAACTCTTTTCTCTGGGTTTTCATTAAATCCGTAAGTTTCTCTCTCTCTTCACATTTAACCACTTCTACTCTTTCCCCATCATCTCTTCTATTTATTTACCAGTATTACATTTTTTTTTATTTCGTATGCTCATAGTCTCTCCTGCTCATAAAATATATGGTCTTTGGTGGCTCATAAATACAAAGAGCAATTTAGCAGAATAAGTACTTACTCTATCTCTCTTATTAGTTGAGTTATTAGTTGAGATATGCGTGTATACTTCATGTATTAATTTTAATTATATATCTCATACAAAAGTATATTTGAATCTGAGTTTATACTTATCTAGTTATCTTTTTCATTTTTCCGGAGAGAAAATTAAAAAAAATTATTTGACAAGGGAAGATCCATAAAGAAACTGTTTGGATCGAGTTAAGGTATTTAAATCTTCAATCCTTTTCCATATACGCACTTCAACCCTTTTCTATATACGCAGTATATAAATATAGCTATAATTTTCTGATATGGAGGATCCCAATGATTAGGCAACCATAGAGCATACTTCTTATAGTTTTGAATATATTCAAACATGCTCATACTTCTCAACCTCTTATTTTCTTTTCAGATGAACTGATAAATTCCTGAAAAAATATACCTGCTGGGAAGATGATGATTTCAAGGATTTGGAGCAAATTCGTGCTGATAACGTGTTATAATATGGAAGGAAATAAGCAGAAGATCAGGGAGAGAAATTATAGTATGAATACTTAGTGAGAAAGATGTTATTAGAAGTGTGATAATGTTGTAATCTTAGTATGTTAATTACAATGAGAATGACTCCTATTTATAGGAGAAAGTGTGAGCTCAATGAGATTAGGAGATCATTGTGAGCCACACATTTATCACCTTGAAATCATAATTATGATTTCCTAATTATTTATATAATGGTGATAATAATTCCTAATCAGGAATAGTAGGAAGATGACTAATTCAATTATATTTCAACAAATTCTTATTTTTTGAGCAATTCATTACTTGTTGGAGTGAGGGACAAAGTTTGACTTCTTATTTGAACAATTCATTACGGTTGATAATATCATCAAATTAGATTTAGAAAGTGATGTCAAGCCTAAACTTTGTTTGCTCTTCTTTGATACAGGAGTAATACGTAGTACTCCCTCCGTCCCAAAAACAACTTCCCACTTTCCTCAAATGGATGTCCCAAAATTAACTTCACACTTCAATACTTTCCTTATTTGACAAATTATCTACATAAAAAAAGTGATAAACAGTGTCAAACAATGTTTAAACAGTGCCAAGCAGTGTTTAAACAGTGCCAAACAGTGTTTAAACAGTGCACTCTACAGTAAAGTCAAATTTATTTTCTAAAAGTGTGTGAAAGTCCAACCGGGAGATTGTTTTCGGGACGGAGAGAGTATATAACTTGATGTTGAGAAGATCTAATACTACGTATAAAAGGTATCCAGATCATATGCGTGACTCTTCATTGAAGCACAACTCAGTAGATTTTCTGAAAAATCTACGAATAAAAACATATAGTTAATACGAATCATATGAAAACATACGAATCACTCTGTTAGCTAATACTCGTATAACGTTTCACTCAGAAATCTATATTTTGAAACATTGATAGTAGTACTATGAATATACTTTAAGATATTAGTTTTACTGTACTTACTAAATAAAATAATATTTCGTACTATTTAGCAATTTATAAAAAAAAACTGATTGCGAAAGTCAGTATCAAAACTGTTTTGGTACGAAGGTAGTAATAGTCATGTATCAAAAGTGGTCAAAGTCAAATACGTGGACCGATTGTGAAATTGGTGCGATACTTGTAGGACAAAAAGTGAAATTTAATTCATAATTTCACTACACCGAGTCGGCATGATCAGGAGCTGCCACTCTACTCCTTGCTACACGCTCCACGTCAGACCAGGGGAGGATCTACATACAGGTTGTGGTGGGCTGAAGCCCAGTGTAACTAAACTTTTTTCAATTTTTTTAATGTAAATATTTTCATTTTTCATATTCAGCTCACTCCTGTAATGTTTAAGTTTAGTATAATTGCTCTCCGGCCCAAAGCATCTCAAATCCCTGGATCCGCCCCTGCGTCTGACCAGACCGGCAAGGCGGCAATAAGCGGCTATTGGTAACCATCTTTGCTCTCATCCTACATTAGGAACCATGCGCACCATCAGCGATCGTCAGTATGTATGCTATCAGCGATTGTGAGCGCTAGCAGAAGTCCCTCATCCATAGTCAAACACCACCATCGCCTCATCTATCGCCAGCAGTGGCGGAGCCACATTGGTTCAAAACTGTTCATATGAACACTTAGAATATTGAAAAATATGTTAGTATACATGCATTTGCAAATTTAGGTAAATTATTGATTGTTCTGTCAAGTTTTAATTGTATAATAGAATGAACACCCAAAAACCAAATCATAAATCCGCCACTGATCGCCGGTCAGCATCTTCACCGTCTCAAAATTAGCTGGCTAAGCTAATTTATGAAGTACCGAATATCTATTCTCAAGATAAGTGTTTTCATGCTCTAATTTCTTTTTTTTTACACTTCTTCTGATTCGTACTCCTAAACTACTTTCATCTCAACCAATCCATATGAATTACGGAGTATTATAGTTTGAAGATAGATAAATTCTACTCAAAAACCAGTTACATTGAATTGATTCAATAGTAAAATGTTGCAAAATAACGAAGGTTGGGCCTATTAGCTATATTGTACGGAGTACTTGATTTCTGGAGTTTCATAAATTTATAAAACTACTTATAAAAGTGATTAAAATTTAAAGAGTTAAATATAACACAAAAGTTTCATGCACTCTTGAATTTTCCGAGAAAATCTTTTGTATGAGCATGTTCCTCCTATTCAGTGTCGTTTTTTGATAAAAAAAACAGAAATTGCCCTAAATAGGAGTAAAAACGTTTTGAAATTCCAAAATAGGAGTATCATGATTTTTATTCCCTAAATAGGAGTAATCTGCCAAGTTTAGAAAAAAATGCCATGTTTAAAGCCTTATAATTCCAAACTTGGCAGAAATTTACTCCTATTTAGGGAATAAAAAAAATGATACTCCTATTTTGGAATTTCAAAACGTTTTTACTCCTATTTAGGGAATTCTCTCTAAAAAAAACATAAAACATAAAAATAGTACTCTATAAGTTCAGTCCATGAAGTTTTAATAGATGAAAATTATATTTAGTCAGCCAAGATGAACATTGACAATATAATACTTGATAATTTATAAATTGTTATATTGATATTTACCTTCATATTTGATGTCATCTATAGTTCTTTTTCTCGAAAGTGTAATTTGTACTCAATTAATTAGTCCGGAAGGGATCAAAATAGGCGACTTTGAGAATGAATCTAAATTGAATCATAGAAGACCAAATTGAGTGCAAATGAAAGGTGAGGGCAGATAGATTGTTTTTAAATTATAATTTCACAATTGTTATATTGATGCCATCTCTAGTTCTTTTTTTAGAAAATTTTGTACTCTTTGAAATTTTCACCATTTTATCTTTTCTTTGTAACAGATCAAGCTGTGATGCTACTCAACCATTTGTGCCATAATTAATTAATTAGTAGTAGAAGGTATAAACTTGTTCACCATCTTAAGTTCAGACAATACTACAAAATTTATTTTTATTACGGATGAAAGCAAATGAAGTTTACATGTATTGAAGTCATATCTTTAAAAGGATTACCAATTTTTATGTAATCTGGATCCCCCGCTCAATTACTTTGTTTACTCAAAAATTTGTCACGTGTGTCAAAAAATTTCCGTAAATTTCACCCGCATCTATCTTTTTTAATTATTCAAATAAAACTTCATTGGGACATTTATCATCGAACTTACCTCATGAAAATGAAATAGAAATCATTTGTCTTTTTGCCGTATAAATACACTTATATATGAGCAGATTCCAGCAACTTTTCCCTGCGGGTGTAACACTGAATAACAATTATTCGAAGAGAATAATAGGAGTGTCGTCTTTGCGTAGGAAATAGCTTCATCTCTTAAGCACATGGAATATCTTAAGCGTAGGTAAGTCATTGAATGTTACGAACAATATATACTCCGATGTTCTCTTTTAAATAAGTTTGTTCAATCAAAATGCTTATATACCCTCACTTTTATTACAAATAGATTGCTACAAATAGAAGTTGACAAATATTGCGTACTATTTTCTTCAAACTACAAAAAACTACTCTTGGTTGAAGATTGGATCAAGTTTAGCATTTATAGTTGATAAAGTAGCATATAATAAGGGATACATCTTCGTCCACATTATTTCATTTAATTGTATGATGGTGTTCTATATTTGACTATTAATAAGAGTTGTTGATGAACGTTCTCATTATTATTAATTATCTTTGATGAATTGGAGATGATCCATGATTGGGTGTTCGACAGAGAACAAGTAAAAGATATAACTGGGATTAGCAAACAATTTAACAAGTGGAAAGTAACAAAACTAAGTTTTTTTTATTGATCTAAATCATATAAGCCATTCATCTTAGAATTTAATTATTCGTAAGTCAAACAATCTTAAATCTGCCCCTTTATTACAACTTAATAAAGAAGAAATACATATTTATATGTGAATACAAACCTTACTTGATTAATATTACATATAAATAGTAAGTGTTAGTATTGATTTAATTTTGAGGCGACGACTTCAGTGCCGTCAAGCCTTTAACTCTTACAAAGTCATCGGTTAATCATCCACGTGACTAGTTGACTTTGTTTTTTTTCCTTACAGTTATTTATTCACTCCTACTAACCAAATTTATATTTTGCTTTTTCTTTTGATATCTTGCTTCTCTCTCGTAACAGGCTACTCATTTATGGAAGTCATCCGATTTTTATTGAAAGATCTTCAATTTTAACTTTGTTACCATCACTATTCATTCAAAGTTTTGCTTGATTTGGAACTCCAAATTATTTATGGTGGCTTTCATTCAATCTGGTTGCAGGCCTACTTCCTCAGCGGCAGCACCAACAGCGACAACGATGATGACCCACCTCCGGGGACTACCAAGTTACTTTGAGTTAGCAACAAACATGCAAAAACTCATACTATAGCCTAGGGGTGGACTCGGGCCGGGCGGCCCGACCAGGAACCGGCCCGGCCCGGTTACTGTTTGGCCCGGCCCGGGGCCCGGTGGGTCCCTCGGTTCGGTTTGGTCCCTCGGTTCGGGCCCGGTCAGGGCCGGATTTTAATTTTTTTTTTTTTGAATTTTTTTTAAGTTTTGGGTTGGATTAAGTATTTTGGGCCATTTGAGGTGGTTTGGGGTGGAGGGGGAGGGGTAGGGGGTTAAATAGGAGAACCAAAAAAAAAAATTGGACCGGTTTGGCCCGGCCCGGCCCGGTTTGGCCCAGAACCGGAACCGGCCACCGGCGGTTCGGGCTCGGGCCCCAGTTTTCTGGCCCGAGGCCCGGCCGGGCCCAGGCCCGAACCGGGCCCGAACCGGCCCGAGTCCAGCCCTACTATAGCCCATCTATGAAGAAAAACAAACTTAATGTAAAATCTGGACAAATCGATCCCGATTCGTCAATTCTCTTCAGCAATCGATCGAGTTCTACCGGCGAGAGCTGCGATTCATTAGTAGCGACGACTTCAGCGAGACATCGGGTGATGGCCATAGCTTGTTCTTCGTCTTCTTCATATAAGTGGTTATAGTGTCTCTCACGAGGCAAGAATGACAACACTTGAAGATCCACAGGCTAGGTGGCTAGGTCATGAATTCCAGTGTGATTTTTTACTTTCAGTAAAGAAGAGTGAAGAAATAAAAGATATGTAGTACGATGTATGAATGTATGATACGGAGTACAAAAAATTATACGTAGTACTACGTATCTCAAATTAGCTATGTGAATAGAAGAAAAATTAGTAAAAAGGAAAATAAACATGTTAGATTAGCCATGTCACTGAATTACCGGATGACCGTGAATTGAGTCTTTTTTTTAGTACTGAGAGTTGACTTTTCTGGGAGTTAAATAAACATGTTGGAGGGTCTGGATAGTTTTCCCTTTTTCAAATGATTATCTTCTGGCTCTAATTTGGTCAAAAAAAAAATCTTCTGGCTCTGACGAGAGGTCCTGTGGTCCAGACTCCAGTCTCCACAGCCCACATTTGTATTTGTTTCTCTTTAACCATCCATGGGGGGCGTATATTTGAACTTTTCACCCACTAATCTAGCATGTGTCCCTTATAAATTACATCATCATACTGGACCGTAGCCGGCTAGGTAAAACAAAAAAACAAACTGTGCAGGTGCATCAATGGGAGGACCGATAACTCTTCAAACTTTCATTTTTCATTCGTACCAAAATTATATCCTCGTTCCCTTTTGATTCACAACATTTCTTACACATTCTTACACGTTTCTTTCTTCTCTGCACAACTCTACTTGACTACACAATACTCATTATCTTAATCCCGTGTCATTTGTACTTTGTAAGATAAATATGGGATGGAGGGAGTATAACAAATTAAAGCTGGAGCTTGAGTTGCCATTCACAGAATACTAGAACAGTCATGTATTTATTTTACTTTCCTTCTATAACTCATCTTGTACTCTGAAAACTGTTGTAAAATTGAACACATTGACATTCCATTCTAAGAGTTACTCCTGCATCAAGTCTTCACAACTATCAAGTCAACAACAAATACATCATCAACACCGAATCCAAAGTATAAATGTATAATAATTTAACGTAAATATACTCATATGGAGCACGTTGACATGATGAATGATGAAATTTCTCTCATCTTAAAACATGGGAGAATCCTCACTTTTCCCCATGTCAGGTCAACGTGGAGCATGTTAAGGTCTTTGTTGAGGTGCTGACTATATATTTTGCCTATATATATGCTCCTGGGACCAATCACTAGGGGTCAAAAAACATCTTTAACAAAAAAGTACACAAGTTGAAGCGTTGAACTCCAGTTGTACCACTTAAAATCCAGTCCAAGCAGTCATCACAAAAATAAGCCCCGGCTGATCAAACAAAACTGCAATGAAAACAAATACGTTGTTAAGTACCAAATGAGTTTAAAAGATCTCGATCATTAACTAACTATGATGTTTAACATATAGGAGTACTCCATAATACTCATAATTAATAATCTCAAATCACGACCTAGTCAAGTGTAACCGGCACCATTTTGAATTACACAATTATTTCTACTAAACTGAAAATTACAACAGTTTTTATGCTGTCTGGCCTCATCATAAAGGCCTCATCATCCTACTACATCATACCTTAAGCCACGGTAATTCAAAACTTTATACGAGATTTTTTATGAAAATATTTCACTTGGTACATACTTCATAGTTGTTATCTTTTCATCATAACATTTTCAAAGACAGATAAACTCCTTGCAAAAAAAAAAAAGACAGATGGACTAAGAATTGATAAAATGAAAACAATGAAAAAGAAATGTTTTTCCTTAAATATTTCTGAAATAACACATGAATGAAAAATTGAATACAATCATAGTCACCATAATTATTACTCCGTATTATAGTAACTAGAATATCAAAAGTCACATTTCTATCCACTATCTTTATATCAAACTTATATTTGCCATTACTTATTTACTTCTAGATATAAAGATAAAATCGGAAAGTTCACAAGGGAAACTCCGAAACTGTATCCAAAAATAAAAAGAAGTAATCTTTTTTAATCACAATTTAACACTACAAAAAAACTCGCTTGTAGTCACGGATTTTAGTCACGGATTTGGTCCGTGACTAGTTTGTCACGGACTAGTCACGGAATTTTTTTAAAAAAAATAGTCACGGATTTGACCGTGACTATGTCCGTGACTAAGTTTAGTCACGGTCAGATCCGTGACTAAAATCCTCCGATAGCCCCGATTGCGTTTCCGGCGTGGCTTATTTTATTCCGGCGATTTAGTCACGGACACATCCGTGACAAAATCCGTGACTAATAAAAAAATTTAATTTTTCTAAATCCCAAGAATTACTTCACAACGGTATTCTGTACGGATAAAATTAGTCACGGACATGTCCGTGACTAATTCCGTGACTAAATTCAAAATTTGAATTTAGTCACGGTATTAGTCACGGATAAATCCGTGACTAAACCGGTCAATGGCGGCTGATGCCGCGTGGCTGGATTTGTTGATTACGAAGGGTTTAGTCACGGAAATATCCGTGACTAATCCCTTATACTATCTATAAAATAAACCCTTAGCACTTCATAATTCTCAGTTCCTACCCATCTCTTTCCTCCCCACAATTCTTAGCTGGTTCAACAATGGCTGCCACCACCATAGCCACAGCTGCCATGCTCAATGTCGACGCCCAGACCAGAATCAGTACTGCGAACAAACCATCATCATCCTCTAACCACCACCATGTACATTTAAAACCCATCTCACTCCTCTCCCTCCTCCCCAAACCTAAACGCCCCTCAGCCGCCGATCCATCTTCCCTCGACGGAGCCGCTGCGGCCGGGGCCTTCTTCTCCGCCATGGCCGCCGCCGATCCGGCTTTCGCGGCGCAGAAGATAGCGGATATAGCCGGAGCTGCCACCGGAGGAGACGACACCCGCGTGTTCGCCCTTTTGCTTCCCATCGTCCCGGCCTTGGCGTGGGTGCTCTTCAACATCCTCCAGCCAGGACTGAACCAGCTGAACCGAATGAGGAGCAGCAAGGGGGTCATGGTCGGGCTTGGGTTTGGGCTTGGTGGGCTGACTGCGTCCCAGTTCATTGGGCCAGACGCCGTGTTTGCTGCTGCCGGAGAAGTGGCGGAAGTGGCCGGCGGTACGGATGACAAAAGTTTATTAAAGACATTAAAAAACAGTTTTTAAAAAGTTTAAACTGTTTTTTATTAGAAAGTGTTTAAACAGTTTTAAAAAAAGTTTTAAAAAAGTTTAAACTGTGTTTTATTAAAAACTGTTTTTATTAAACAGTTTTAAAAAAGTTTAAACAGTTTTGTAAAACAGTTTTTCTCCGAACAGTTCAATTAAAAACATTATAAAACAGTTTATTAAACTGTTTTTTTATTAAACAGTTTAATAAAAAACAGTTTTTTAAAAAAAGTGTTTAATACACCGTTTTTTATTCAAACGAAAAATTTCAAAAAAAGTGTTTAATAGACCGTGACTAATACGAAATGTCAAAAAATTGAAAAAAGGAAACGCGGGTTTTTTAAAATTTCAAAAATTTGAAAACTTAGTCACGGATATTTCCGTGACTAATATGGCCGAATTTTTTTTAAAAAAATACTTAGTCACGGACTAGTCCGTGACTTAAAAAAAAAATGTAGTCACGGATCTTAGCCGTGACTAAAGTGCCGGAGCAGCTATTCCGGTGAAAGATTAGTCACGGATCTGGTCCGTGACTAATCCGTGACTACATTTAGTCACGGACAATTTGGCGTGACTAAATCCGTGACTACAGCCGAATTTTTTTGTAGTGTAAGGAGGTGTTTGGATCTATTTCTTAATACTGATTATGTTTTTCAAGAAGCATAAGAACATATTAGATTGTATGAGTAACAGTTCAGAAGTAATTTTAAGTGTTGCAAATTGTTTTTATAGAAACATTTTTTGAAAAATTGGGGAAGACCGTTTTCACAGAATCAATTCCAAACATTAGGAAAATTTAAACTTGCATCCCATTTTTTAAAGTGAGACTCAAATTCAAATTTGGGGTGCAAATATAAATGATTTAAAGAGTACTACACTAGTACCCCCGTCCCTAATTGTTCCTCAAATTACGGGTTATGAAGTTTGACCAGCGATAAAGTTAAATGATTCATTTGAAAACTCAAACTATTTTTAGTAATTTTCTTTTACATATTCAAAAAACCTTTCAATTTTCATCAAATTTTGATATATAAAATAAAATATTAAGAGTGATTTAAGTTGTCCTCCAAAGTGAAAAGAAAGATCTTTGAGACGGAGGGAGTGTGATTCAAACTCAAATTTAAACGACAAACTGTGATCGAGAGGTAAAGTTCGAGTACTGTGGAAAATTTGTCAAAATTTTGATTGCCCCTCCGTGCACCTAACCATAATATCCCAAACACAAGCGCAAAAGCAAGTTAAAAGTTTAAAACCTGAGCATACAAACAATTAATAAGAAATTAATGCAAGAGAATCGGAGATAAAACGAACCTAAGAGGAAGGAAGCGGAGGATCGGGGAAGGAAGGGACCCAATGGCGGTGAAACCACTCGCGGTGGAGGCGGAGCTGCGACTCGTGGAACTGAATCTGCTCGCGGGAGCAGCGGAAGAAGACGGAGTATCTGGAAGAGTCTAGAACTTCCGTGACCACGCCCTCCCACCAGCCGTCGACGTGGAAAGCGTCGACCTCCTCGCTGAGCCGGAAGGAGCGCGTGGGCTCGCGTGGGGGGACGGGGCGGACGAGGATGAAGTGGACGGACTGGCGGAGGGGCTTGGCGGGGTCGGCGTCGTCGACGAGGTTGTGGAACTCGAGGAAGATCTTGTTGTTCTTCCGGGAAATCGTGCGGAGGACGGTGGCGGCGTACCAGGAGCCTCGGAAACCGTCGTCTTCCAGGCTGACTTCAACTTGCGCTCCTTTTTTGCACCAATCTCCCCGTTCCTCTGCCCTCTTCTTCCTCTTCATCCCTCTCCTTTTTTGCACCTTCTCTCCGTGTAAGACACCGTCACGGCTCACAGAGAAGAAATGTTGAAGAATTATTAATTGACATATGACTTTTTCCTACCGTCCAACCACAAACTCGCCGCGTCTATCCGTTAATAATACTCCCTCTCCCGGTCTTCCCAATGCAAGGAATAAAAAGTTTATTCTAAATGCTGTCAAAAGCCGAAAGGGAGCCAAAAGTCCAGTAAAGGGTCAATTTGGTCCTCAAAGTTTCATAAAGGGGTCAAATAAGTCCTTATATAGAAGATTCTGTCCGGATGTGCCATTTGAGCCGGTTATCGGTGGAATTTTTTGATTAAAGTTTTTGAGCATCTTATTCATTAAGTCTAGTTTACTCATACCAAATATCAGTTAAAAATTCAATCGGGAAGGCATTCAAATGAATTCTTGAAGATAACTGCGCTTTTAACTACACAATTATCTTCAAGAATTCATTTGAATGTCTTCCCGATTGAATTGTTATCTGAAATTTGGTATGAGTGAACTAGACTTAATGAATAAGATGCTCAAAAAATTTAATCAAAAAATTCCACCGGGAACCGCCCCAAATGGCGACGGCCGGATAGAACCTCCTATATAAGGACTTATTTGACCCCTTTTATGCAACTTCAAGGACCAAACTGACCCTTTACTCGCCCAAAATGTGTCAAAAAATGTATAGGGGTTTTTAGAAGAATATTAATAGGGAAAACTGTCAAATTGGTGCTCGAACTTTCATAAAAAAGTCAAATAAGTCCTTATATAGAAGGTTCTATCCGGCCTTCGCGATTTGAGGCGGTTCCTGGTGGAATTTTTTGATGAAAATTTTTTAGCATCTTATTCATCAAGCTTAGTTTACTCATACCAAATTTCAGCTAAAACTTCAATCGAGAACGCATTCAAATTAATTCATAAAGATAACTGCTCATTTATATTGCACAGTTATCTTCAAGAATTAATTTGAATGCGTTCCCGATTGAAGTTTTAGCTGCAATTTGGTATGAGTAAACTAAACTTGATGAATAAGATGTTAAAAAATTTTCGTAAAAAATTCCACCGGGAACCGCCCCAAATCGCGACGGCCGGACAGAGCCTCCTATATAAGGACTTATTTGACCTTTTTATGAAAGTTCGAGGACCTATTTGACAGTTTTCCCATATTAATAAAATAAAACTTATTTACATAAATATGACTATTCATTATTACAATGTAGTGTTCTGGTAACTTAAGCTCAAAACTTGAACATGAATTACTATGATTTCATTACTACTCTAGTAACTAGTCATATTTTTGTAAATCATCTTTATTTTGGTCATATTTATGTAATTATTTCATATCTAAATGATCAAATAAGTCTATGTACAATAAATCGAAAATAAAAAGGACTTTTTACATGAATATTACTAATTTAGAGCCAATTTAAAAAAATGTGAATACTTTTACAAAAGGACAAAAATGTTACTAAGACGGTCATATATTTGGAAAAACATAGTTCTGTTAGTTTTTTATGTCACCGTTAATTTTTTAGGTCACTGATTTCATGTAACTTTTATATGTCACTTTTACCGTCAAATGTGTCACTAATGTCGTTAACCATGTCATTGTCATCACCACTCATGTCATTGTTGTTGCCATCGCTCGTGTCATTGCCACTGCCGCTTGTCACCGCTGCCATTCATAGTGACACTACCGTAGTGAGATCCCCACCTCAGCCTTTTGACCACAGTGACTTCTCCACCGCCAAAAACCGTTGGCCACCTCCGATCACCTCTGCGGGCCATATTCTGCGGTGACAATTCCGCGGTGGCGCACAATTATTCAAGCGACTTTTCTCCATCAAAGTTTCGCCGCAAATCATCACCCTTCCGCCTCGACACCGCCGCCATCATGTGAGACAATCTACGGACTAACAAACTCTTACCCTAGTCCCATCCCCTGCTAGCGGGTGGAATCTAGCCACCTGCAAAGGCGAGGCGGAGACCTCCGGTATAGACGAGAAGTGGAGGTGACCGTCCCTGGTGGTCGGCATAGGCGAGGCAGAGATCTAGACGGCGAGGCGACGCGAAGATCTGGACGACGAGGGAGCTTGTGCGGAAGTATTCCACGTTGGAGCCTGTGCGGAAGTCCTGGGCGGAAGAGGAAGATGAAAGCGTAAGTTCAAAGCAACGGAAGGTGCAGAGGGACGTTAAAAACAAGGTCACTTTTGTGGATTTTTTAAAACTGGTCACATTTTTGTCCAAAAGAAGCTGAGAAGTAATATTGGTGCCATTTTTTGAAATAAAAAAACAGAAACAATAAAAAAATTAAAAATTAAACAAAATGACCGGTTGTTTACCCGTAAATAATCAAATTTGAACCATTTTTGTCGGTTCGGGGTATGCATTGAATCTTTTTTTAGTTTAGAGATTTAATTGAGCTTACACGACCAGTACAGGGGCCTATTTGACCTTTTAGCCGCCTTTGTACAAATATATTACTTAAAAAAATACGGAGTAAATTTTATTGTATTGAATAACACAAAAATGTACTCCCTCCGGTTCTTATTTAACGTTACACTTTCCTTTTTTGGATGTTCCAAGCAAGTTTACACTTCCTTATTTGGCAAACAAACCTATACAAAAACAGTGCAAAACAGTCTCAAGATAGTGCAAAAAAATGCCAAGCAGTGTCAAACAGTGTCACAACGGTGTACTCTACAGTAAAATCATCTCTCAGTAAATTTATTTTCTTAATATGTGTGAAGTCAGAGTGTAAACTTAAATAAGAACCAGAGAGAGTATGTAGTATACTGATACGATATATTTAAAATGAAGGTTATTTACAAAAATATGATTAGTGACTATAGTAGTAATGAAAACATAATAATTTATGTTCAAATTTTAAATTTAAGTTACTATGACACTACATTGTAGTAACTACTAGTCATATTTTTGTAAGTCTTATTTTAGTAATATTTTTGTAAAAACCCCACTAAGATATGGTACTATTACTTGTAATTGTTAAATTTGTCTATTCAATATATTGAGAGCGTTTGGTAACACTGTTTTTCGGCTTATCAGGTTTATCAGCCAATTTTTCACCAAACACGTAACTTTTGTCTTCGCGCGCTGAATTGTACTACATATAATAATAAGAAAAAGTAAGATTGAAGTTACTTTTCTATTGGCTGAAGTTACTGAAGATGACTATTTTAGCTATTTTTACATACTACGTATAATTTTTCTTTATTTTATTAATAAAATGTATTTCAAAAACTTTTTTTCTTAAGTTAACAGAATTAACCAATGAAGTAAAACTTTATAAATTTCAGCAGAATCAGCCGAATCAGCTCATTTTGTTGTTACCAAACAAGCTCATTATGTGCATGACTGATTACAAACGCTAATAATGGTGTGACATTTTTCAATTCACGTGCAAGTAAATCATATAGATTGTATATCAAAAGGAAATTTGATAATAACTCCAATTATATGATGTATTGCAAAAATTAGTCGTACTTTATGAGTGTTGCTTTTAATCAAAGTGCAATATTAAAAAAATTGAAGTACCAAAAGAGAATATTTAGGTATATACACTTACTCTCACACATCCAAGATATTTATATTTTATAAATGAGTTTATCTTAAACATAGGGTAGTCTACCACCCATATAACAACTACGAGCTCGTTTGATAACACTGAAATTGACTGAATCGGTTGATTCTGCTGAAATTTATGAAGTTCAGGCTTAAGTGGCTGTATTGGCTGATTCTACTAATTTATGAAAAAAACTAAATTTAAAATATATTTTATTAATAAAATAAAGAAAAAATTATATGTAAAAATAGCTAAAATGGTCCTCTATAGTAACTGCAACCGAAACAACCAGAAAAGTAACCACAACCTTATTTTTTCTTATTATTACACATTTCAGTGCGAGAAATCAAAAGTTACGTGTTTGGAGAAAAAGTTGACTGATAAATCTAATAAGCCGAATACGGTGTTACCATATGGGCTCTACGTATATAAGAGTGATGTAATTCGCTTATCACTTAGCGGACAAAATTAAATCAAAACGATCCCTCTTATTTCTTTGTTTTCAAGTATCAATCCTAATTTGAACCTGAATTAACATTAATAACTAGAATTAAAAGCACCACGCAATAGTATAACTCGAAAACAAGGACATAAAAGCACAAATGAAATCCAATGTTAAAGCTCAACATATTAACGAAAACATAAATAAAAGAGGCTCAACTAGTTAGGAGCTAAAAACAACCTGGACAAGCTTCCATAGTTCCATATATCCACCTTCTTCCGTGGTCGAAAATACTGAAAAACAAACTAAAGAGTTTTTCATATTTAAATGCTCACACTCAATCACCACGCTCGAATAATTTTTATATATCTAAATTCAGCTCCCTACTCAACTTCATTTTCCTCACATATGCAATTGCAGAGTCAGAAAAACATGTGAGGGGTCGAAATTCAATTATATAAGGTATCAAAATGGATAATCGTTATTAAACAATACATGAGTTAAATATTTTCTATATAGCTGAGATAAATGCAAGTTTAATGAGACATATTCAGTTATTGTGTAGATATATATGTCATGTATTGAAAACTTCACAGTTCACACAATTATTGAGTGAATAAAGTGTTTTGTTTTAAAATTTAAGAATATAATCCATATCACACATCAAATTTTGCTCATTTTAAGTTCGGATGGTGCTGATTTTTCCAGAAGCCATAACTTTTTACTCGAAATGAGTTACGAGACCTATAATATATCAAATCGAAGATAATTCAGAGCTCTACATTCTCAAACTTTCAACAGGGTCAGCTGACCACCCTGACCCCTCTTGGCTCCGCCCCTGCATCTATGGTTTATCAGTATCAAGATAGACTCAAATTCTCAAATAAGTTTTCCAAGCATTCCCGAACTGATACTCATTTACATACAATAATAAATTTTCTCAAATTATTCTCAATACCCTTTGCCACCTTAAATGTCATAGAAAATTTTTTAGTGTACATGAGTTGTACATAAAGTGTACACAAAACCCACCTAGTTGCATGCACACACAAATAATTCGTTTAAAAAGGTGCAAGATTTGATGCCGAAACCCTCTAAT